CTATTTAAAACATCCCAGTTTCCAAGGTGATGTCTTAACAAGTTTTCTTTTACTAGTTTTAAACTCAAAGATATCCAGATCAATGTGATGTAAAACAGAAAAGCAGGAAATCTACATTTGTGAGAGGCTGAAAGCAGCCTTGTGAATTGTCTACTCAGTTAGTTGAATTATCGTTGCAACTGACTAAACTAACCAGAATAATATCTGCGCAGCTCCACAAACAGCTCCTGGAACACGTGTGCGTTCTGGGTGAAGAGCCGTCCGTAGGTCTTGGTAAACATCTGGTTCATCGACTTCTCTGACAACTCAATGAGCTCTCTGAAAAATTCTGCAGACAACAGACAGGAAAAGCAGATTAGATATTAATTTATCATCCATTTTATTCTCTTCCGATATCTTAGCCAGGTTTCTAGGTACGTGGGCGCACAATTAACAGCTCATAGGGACAGTTACATCAGATCCTGCACGCTGTTAAATGAGAATAACAACGTGTACTCTATTTAGAACTCATATGTAGTCTCCCACTGCTACAGCTTCTTTAAATGATTCACCATGTACATTATATAAACGGATGAGGAGAGAAAAAAAGGTGATAGCAGTCCACCGGAGGTAGGAGGAGAACGTGTAAATTCAGCTCTGTGCTGGGGCTGCAACTAACCTGCAGCCATACATACAGAGATTGAGACAACGTGGGCTGAATTCTCTGAAATACAGCCACTAAAGCTGTCTGGGTAGATTTCCCTACAGCCACCATTTGTTGACAGGGAAACTCGACCAATTTGTATACATGTTTAAGTTCAGTTTTCAGCTACGGTTAGGTTTTGTTTATGACGTTTTCTGTGGCTCCAGAGGCAGCGCTCAAACATCTGAAAAGAAAACCTGCTGGTGTCATAGTGATATCATCAGGGTTACCTCCGCTACGGTTGGCTAAAGCAAAAAGTACAATAATTTGTTACAAACTGGAGCTGTACATTTGTTTAGTGGGGTATTTACCATTTACCAGGCAAAAAGGAATCTAATCAAAGTTGTGTTGCATTATGGGAATTGAGGATCTAGTTTTCTGGATCTTAACCCATACTAGGGACTAACTGTCAGGATATCCCAACCGTTGCTACTAATCATGATTCAATCATTTGTATATCCTGTCTCTTGTGAGTCCCTCAACTTTATGAGAGTGCAATGCTAAAGTTTCTGAAGTTACTTTGGTTTCAGCAGTTATTGTGTGTCGGTTAAACATGAATAAGAACCATGCTATGCAGGAACTTTGCAATATTCATGCACTGCTGCTTTTAGATTCCAAAGTTAAAAAAAATTGAGACTCAGAATCCAACCATCTGAGTGCCGTTGAATATCCTTAATACGTTTTTAATCTCTGCACTCCATTAACTCGGTAGAGGGTGATGTGAGGAGAGAAGACTTAGACTACATTTAAGAACAGATAATATGACTATAAAGAATAACTGCTTCTGAGTCAGCCTCTCACCGTCAAACCTGCGGTGTCTCTGGGTAAAAGTAGTCAAAAGGAACTGGCTGTTCTCCTCGACAGCTTTTAAGAAATCCCTCTCGCTCTGCAGGGCCAGCGTTTCCTCCATCTGACTGGAGCAGCAGGTGTAGTCTTGAGGACAGAGCCGCAGGTGCTCACCTACACAAGGCCAGGGAAGAAGGTCAAAACATAAGTGGAGAAAAGGTATTTGGCTTAAACATAAGATATTCTATTGTTGTGTTTCTGTAAGGCACTTTGGGCTGCATTTATGGCTAAAAGCTGCCATTAAAAAAAAGTCATAATTAACATTTTAATGAAAACAAAGCCCTTTTTTCAATGACATCAGCATCTTTTATCAGGTTAAAGCAGATGTTTTAATGGAAAACCAAATTCCTCCAATCATCAGTCTGTTCAGTTACTGAGGGGAAATCCTATCAAAGATAAGGATGTGATAGATAATTTTAATTTCCCTGCATGAATTATTCAGCTTCAATCTGTCTTTCTTTGTCAACTCAGGTTGGCTCTTTGATATGTCAGAGGTAATGATATGCAAACGACAAGCAGGGGAGACAGACAGACACAAAACAAAACGGCGCTCTGAATGTGGAAAAGGTTTGAATTCTTTGTCTGTATAATTTAACATCTAACATGAATATTGCTGCTGTTAATACAGGGGAAAGTCTCCCAACTCCACCCTCGCTGATGTCCCCCTCTGCCTCTTTTGTTCTCTCTGTGTGTCTCACTATTAGCCCCTCTCTCATCCCTCTATTTCCATTTCTAAACTGCTTCTCTTCCTCCTTCGCTCTCCCGGCCATCTGCTCCCCTGGCCCACGGGACAGGGAGCCAAGACTCAGGCAGAGATAACACACACACACAATCAACACACACACACACACACACACACACACACACCACACCACACACACACACACACACACACACAACACACACACACACACACACACACACACACACACACACACACACACACACACACACACACACACACACACACACACACACACACACACACACACACACACACACACACACACACACACACACACACACACACACACACACACACACACACACACACACACACACACACACACACCACACACACACACACACACACCACACACAACACACACACACACACACACACACACACACACACACACACACACACCACACACCACACACACCACACACACACACACACACACACACACACAGTTTTTCACTACAATTTACTCAAACATTTGACAATTTATTTTCCAAGTCTGTCTAAGGGTAAAACACACACACAATGTTATTCTCTCACTAATATTTAAATGCAAGGCTGAACTTCCAAGAGGTAGACACATCTTTAGCCACTCATGTTCTCCAACATTTGATCCCTCACTTGGTCAGACATCAATATTTAACCAAATGTTCCCTTACTTCCCATCTTTCCTGTATCCCTGCCTCTAACCAAAACTTTAAATTATCCAAAACCCACAGATATTAATCCATGTGATATGGTTCAATTTAGCAGATAAGATTATCTCCAGTACACAGAGCCTATGGGTATATGCAGGGCTTTAACATTGGCCCAGTAGGCAAAGACTAATTAGGGGCGAGGTTCTTTGTTGCACCGGTGTTGGCAAATTGCTCATCCCCTTAATCATCCTATTTAAACAGCACCAGGGGGAGGAGGGGGCGGGTGTAATTTGTTTTAAACCACCCGGTATTGTTTCTCCGGAGGAAACCTCACCATTGATATTCCCACATTATGTCTCTGGTGGATATAAGTGAGTTGTGTGCAACCTTGTAGTTTTAGATATTACTTTTCTATCGTGACTTTAGGTATTTTATTTAAAGATAACCTAGTTTGTTGCTATAATGTTCCCATGATAAATAATTTGTGGTGGTGAGCAGCGAGTTCATAGTGACCTGGATGTGCATAATGGTGTTTGTATGCATGTCATGACAAACAAGGGCATTTTGCTGCAACATGTATCTTACATTTGAATCAAAACTTGAATTAGTCACTTATTTTCTTATGGATCATGGGACGGTTCTGCATGAGCCTCTTATCTAAAAGTGTGTGATTCATCCCACTGCAGGGTAGATGCAGTCTTACCGGAGATTTGAGTCACCGGAGCGGTGCCGGTGCTGTAGCCCTTCTCCGCGTACACCTGCCGGGTGTCGGCGCAGCTCCTCCCGGCAGAAGCCACGGGACTCCGGCTCCCCGACAGCGAACACACCGCACACAGAAGCACCAGAAGCGGGTACCTGGAGGAAGAAGAGCGGGTATCCATCTTCACCGCAGGACGTAGAAAAAGACAGCAGGGGAGAGGGCGGCTTTAAATAAAACCAGACGGGTGCAGCACCTTTTCAAAATGAATGAATGGGCGGTTTGGATGCACGCAAAAGTAAAAACAGTATCCCAAATCCTCAGTCGTTTAAAAGAGTCATAGTTTTCCCCGATAAGTGCAATGAACAGATGCATCCGGGCTGGTTTTTACATCACACATATGTCTCCATGCACCGTGTCCAGTTAATGTACAGTCCTTCCTGGGAGATCCTGTTGTACGTAGATGTAAAGGGTGTGTGAATGGGGCACTCCCGTCGCTCAGACTCATCCAGCTCACTCTGTCAAGAGGGCAGGGCTGGCAGCGTGATACCGGAAAAGGGCCTGTTTTCAAAATAAAAAGCTATTTTAATGTTTTTTACAAGGTTTTTTTTATGCCATAAAACAACATCATCATAACATGTATATTATATAAATGACATGTATTTAAAGGAATATAAAAAACATGTTTAAGAGGTTTTTTTTAAATGACATACATTTGGAGATTAAAGTATAATATTCATTAGTATTTTCAGTATTTGAAGTTTCGACTGTATCTGATTTTTCAACAAAAAAAGCAATTTTAGGCAAAGGCATTTTATTTTAAAGGTTCGTACCAGAAGTTGTGTGTTACTCCAGCTGGTTTGACCATGGTGGTTAAGCCTATCAAACCCAGAACAATGGACCGTGCAGAGGAGGATCAACAGCGGAGAGAGGGTGAGGAGCCCGCGGTGGAGGGGCGGCGAGCAGCTGAGACACACCTCAGGGTCCTAAAAACTGGACAGACAGACAACAGACAAACACAGAGCAGACAGACTGCAAGAATATAGACAGTAAATAAAGAAACGTGTAAAAGAAATGTCCTTTAACAGTGTAAAGCCAAATGACATCCTATATTGTGAATGCGTAGAATTATACTTATTTAGCAATAATTAAATATATAGTTTGATTTTATTATATCATTTTCAAATTAATTCAGTTTGTAATGACGTCCGTTGAATTTCATGAAGATAGTCACATTTACGTTACCGCCGGGTGTGTTGCCATCTACTAAGCAGAATTACTTGTTTTGAGTGACCAATGATCATCCAGGGACCTTCTGTAGGGACCAATCACCTTCAGATCTAAGGAGGCGTTGGCCAATCAGCAAAGATAACACTTTGCATACTTTTACGCGCCCTTGAATCTACTGAGGACAGAATAATTCACGCTAAATCCTCAAAGATTGGAACAAACTGATCGATTATTTAAAAAATCATTACTTAAAACGCCGTAACTAGTAAGTAATTATTCGATTAGTATGTGTCGCTGTAGTAGCTAGCTGGCTACACGTCTTGGAAGTTTACCTTTTCTGTTTTGAAGCTAAGGGATCGTCGGCTAATGCGTCTTGTCCGTTAGAAACTCATAACGAATAATCGGACATTTCCTTCATTAGCCAGTATATTTTTGTCTCATGTAATTAATGTCGGTCGACAAAATATATATTTAAGCTAGTTAGAATTGCGGTTGCAAGTCCTTTAACTAACTAGCTAACGTCATCTTAGCTAATGCTACGGGCATCGTTAGCTTAGCCAATGCTAGGTGTTATCTATTGGGTAAGGAGTAAAGTTAGCTTACTAGTCTTGTAACCACTTTCGTATCTTCTCCCCTACAGTAACTGTCACTGCAACAGTGCAAAGATCAACCTACCTGTAGATCTAAACCAATCACTGAAAATGGCAGCTGGAGACTCCTCATTTGAAAGGTAAAGACAGACACGCCTAGATGGTTCCTTTTGCCACCTGAATGTGTTTAAACCCACTCAATACTTTAGTGACTAAGTACAACTTAATCAGTTTTGGATATTTAATTTAGGATATTTATCATTTATCCTGCATACATATATTTCTAATAAGAAAATGCACACAAATGAACAGCACAGTAACAATCTGCTATAATTGAATAAAGAGTTGTCAAAGACAACATTTTCTGCTTCACAGCCACAACTCAAGTATATATATATATATCCAATTATGTTTTGCTCTATATACAATAATAAAGCTTGTCATCTATAATTGCCTCATTGATAATATCCACAGACCTGACATATGAGTTCATGTTCACTGCCCCAGCAATATGTGTGCATCTATAACAGCTAACACATAGCCAGTTAAAAGTGCTGGAATAAAACTATGAAAAAGTAGTTTGAAGGAACACAGTTAAATGGAGTAAATACAATGATGATAACATATTGAGGTACACTGGGAGTCTCCTAAGTTATTCTACTGTTGGCCACAGAAGCAGAGTGCTACAGTAATGTAAGGAGTACAAATACAAACTTCTGAGCTCAAATTATCAACATGTGTATCTAAATACCTGTCTGGCTTTGTATTTGTGTTAACCTTCAATATTTGTTTATGCTGGAGGAATGTATTCATTCTGTTTTCTTGTCCGTTAGTCTTGACGAAATAGGCAACTTCTCAGATTCTGGCAGTGACTACGAGGCGACATTAACATCCACAAAGCGGAAAACACAGGCAGTGACTGGTCCAAAGGTAAATGATGTTGTTCTCTCTCAAACTACTTTACTCTCATTTACAAACCTATAGTTTGCATTATTTACAATGGAGTAGATAAGGGCAAATATACATTTGTTATTAATTAAATTGCATCATTGTCGATTATCTTTCCGTTCTTAAAAAAAGCCTATCCAGAGTCGTAATAGCTGTGGTAAGCCTGTACCTTATCTTACCATGGCTACCACTAATTCAGTTGACAACATCAATTCACCTCAAATCCTCTGCTGAGCTGCCCTCCCTTTTCTTTCATCTAAAGCTACCCAAGAGACCCAGGCATAAAGCTGCATTGAGGGGGTCCAGCCTCAGTAGCACTAGCAGCTCCATCCCCACCCCTCCAACCCCCCCCCTGCAGCAGCAGTCCCGAGGGAGATCCAAGCAGGCCTCTCCTAGACCGGTGACAAGAGAGAACGAGGGGAACAGGGGAATCAGTGCAAAGGATATCTATGATGCTGTCTGCTCTGGAAAGAGTGCCATGGTGGTGAGCAAACCCTCAGCTGAAGAGCAAAAGGGGGAAGGGGTTATAGAGATAAACACATGCAGGGATGTACTGTAGGTGCTGAAGGAGCCATGTGTAATGAGAAGAGAAACAAGGCTCTAAAGCAACAATGACAGAGATTATCATCTGCTGTCAGTGGCTGACTGATCTGACCCTACAGAATTAGCTTTGATACGCAAAGAGGAAGGAGTGCTTTCACTGGGATGTGTAGTCAATGATTGACAGCATGCGTCCATCCCAACCTTTGTTGTTCTGGTCCCAATCTCTTCTGGTTAAAGACTACAAAAAAAGGATCACATAACAATAGGAAGACAAAAAAGAGTGGTAAGCAGTAATAAAAAGAGTCTGTCACTACAGTGTAGAAAGGCAGCACACTGCAGATGGTATTTCTAGGTGAAGACAACACATTCAGCAACTCTGCATTTCACAACATTATAGTCTGTTACGGAAAGGTTTCTCAGTTATTTTTGTCAATATTCTCCTCCCTCCTTCCTTTTTTATATATATTTTTATTAATATTTTTGAATTATTTAAATGTTACACTGACAGTATTCAAAGCAGATTCGAGTTGCAAAATGTAGTCAACTAATACATTTTCCAATCCACTGTTTTCCGCCTCTCAAATATGTAGATTTCCAGCTTTTATCTTTTTTTAAACACACATTACACTTGATATATTTGGGTTTTTGACTGACCTCTAAACAAATCATCTTAGACTTAGAGATACTCAGATGGACATTTTTTACACATTTCTCACATTTTATTTACCAAAAAGAATCTGTGGATTATTCAATAATACAAATAATTGTTATTTGAAGCCCTACAGCAGTTTCTTAGGTAGTGTCCATTTATTTGTATTGGTGTCATTGTTGCCAAAAAACATGAGCACGAATATAAGTGGAGAGAACTTTAGGGCATACCCACATATGTGACTGAGAAAACAGAGGCCATTGTCACGAAGAGGCTGAAATCCATAATTGTATTGAATTATATATTGTTATATGATTCATCCACCCTATGATCTAAACCCAGCGTTCTCATTGGCTGCTTTCTCCTTGTCAATCTGAAGACGGTGGTGGACGAGTGGCTGGACAGCTACAAGCAGAGCCGAGAGGCGGGGCTGCTGGTGCTCATCAACTTCATTGTTCAGTCCTGCGGATGCAAAGGTCAGAGGTCAAGAGGGAGCCCACGCGATGGGGGGGGTGGGAGTCAGAGTTCAGGAGATTATCTTTCCAATTTTAAGCTCAGGCAATGATTAGCACTCAACTATCGATCTCCCAATGCGGTAATGATGCTATGTCTAGGTGCTGTGTTAATCCTCTGTCCATTGACAACGCAATATATCAATATTTTGTGAGAGTAAAATAAATTGAAAATAAGTCATACCATGCCATTTAATTTTTTAGGAGAACCAGAATGATTTCATTGCTACCTTTATCTATGTTAATGTGTTTATCTCTCTTGTGTGGAATACTTGTGTACAGGTGTGGTGAGCAGAGAGATGTTGGACAGCATGCAGAACGCTGAGATCATCAGCACGCTAACCAAAGAGTTTAATGAGGTAAGATAATTAAGATTTGTTTCAATACTTACTAGAAGATAAAGGTTATTCTCCCAGACCTGCGGGTTCAAATCTAGTTCATCACAATGTTTCTCATCCAGTCTCAACTGCAATTTGCTGAGAAATCAACAACCTCTATATCCCAGGATATTGTTATCCCAAGGACGAGTACAGTATGATTGAACACACCAATTAAAATCTCATGCTGATAATTGGACACATTAATGAGTTAATTACTCCGGTTTGCCACTAAATTGTCATTATAGCAAACCTCTGCCTCAAATAGCTATGATGAGAAAAGTGTAAGATATTTTCGCTTTTTGTTTTTGCTGTGTTCCTCCAGGAATCAGTGAACTACCCTCTGTGTACTCCAGGCCCTGAGCTGAGGCGTTTCAAAGCCAGCCTGTGTGAGTTTACTCGGGTTCTGGTGCGCTCCTGTAGGAACAGCCTTATTTTTGACGAGTACCTGTTCCCCTCCCTGCTGGCTCTGCTCACCGGCCTGTCCGACTCGCAGGTCAGAGCCTTCAGACACACCAGCACCCTGCTCGGTAAGTACATCTGTATAGTAATGGTGCATAAAATCAGGGTGTCTGCGGGGTCTTAAAAAGTATTAAAAGTTGATCAATCAATTTAGCGAAAATGAAGACTATTAAAACGTATTACAAAGTATTAAATGGCATTTTCCAAGGTATTACATTTTGTAGCTTGTTTTCAATAAGTATATAAATTGTCCAAAGAGGTTGTATTCTACAGTTTGCCTGAATGTAATCATTGCATAGGCAGTGTTTCCCCTAGGATGGAGTCATAGCAGCGTTGCTAAGGCACGTGGGCCCAGCATAATGTGAGCGTGGAGCGCGTGGAATTTTTTTAGTGCGTGCGAAGTGCGCCCCACCAATTTGTTTCTATGTGTCTGCCAGCACAAGAAAGGCTCTTGAGGCCTAGTACCAGGGCCGGTTCTAGCCAATTTGCTGCCCTAGGCGAGATTTTATATATAAAGAATAAATGAAAAATCTCTACTAAAGACAAATACACTACAAAAACAGAAACTTATTGACATAGGTCATATACGTCAAAATGGCTTTAAATGTATTCAGTATTGTATGAACATGTTTGAATTGGGGGGTGGACGTCACATCCTCTAGGGGGGTCCGGGGGTATGCCCCCCCCGGGAAGATTTGTTTTGAACATTTTAAAGTAAAATGCTTCAATCTGGTGCACTTTGAGCACACAATTACTAGAGACTAGATCTAGGGGGTACAACTCTAAAACACCCATATGAAATATATCTCTTCAACTTAAAACAATATTTTTGGTTTACTGTCCTATAGTATACATTGGAATGATTTCAAACCTGTTTTTATTTATCCTAATAATTTTAAAGTGCCTTGGAAATATGTGTTTACATCATTTGTAAACATATATTTGTTTGAGACCCACTGTGATAACTTAGACTAAAGTTAACTATCTAAACACTCAGAGAGTCCTTTACCTCACTGAGCCTCTCAGTCTGACCGGAGAGCTCTCCTCCACCCTGGTTGTAGAAACATCTACTTCTTATATCCGTTAGCGCAGCTAGCACCAGATTCTAATAACAACAGCGCCAGTACCGGTGCGCCCTCTCTCTCCCTCGCTCGCTCTCTCTCTCCCTCGCTCGCTCTCTCGCTCCCACGCTCGCACTTTGGCTGTGAGCTGCGGGCGCCTGATAAGCCAACATCCCCCACTTTCATTACTTACAGCGCCCATCCTACAGGGCAAATGAAAAGTGTAACAGCGGTGAAAAGGGTGTTACATTTACTTAATTATGAATGTTGTTACATCAAGGCCAAAAATTAGGATGGGCGCCAACGGTCAAAAAAAAATTTCTCCTCCCAGAGCTACCAGCGCAGCGCCCCCCAGATCTGGCGCCCTAGGCGACCGCCTATGTCGCCTATGCTAAAAATCGGCCCTGCCAGTACAGACAGTGGCAATGTCTCAAGATTTAGCAAAAATACACCTCTATTGAACATACAGTAACACAGTAATGTGAGGTAAAGTGTGTCGCCAATGTAACCGGTTAAAACTCGAAGTGGCGATGAGGTCTAAAATGTATGGAAAGGGTCTTAAAAGGTATTAAAGTATACTTCAGGATTCCTGCATATACCCTGAAAATGGAAAAGTAAACACACTCAAAACTGACTTCACAAGAAAACTTTAAATATAGTTTTGAGTCTAAACCTATTGATTGGTGGTAATCCTGTAGGCATTGAAGTTTTTATTTTTTTTAATTTATTCTACTAAAATCATACAAAAAACAAAAACGTATAATTCATACACACATGCTGAAGCATAGCTTATGGGGAGTAGCCCTCCCGTGCATCATCATTAGCATCAATATAATAATGGCACTTATTTCGTCAAAAACGTATAGAAATTAAGGAGTACAAAAAAATAAAGAAAACTAATGAAAACTGGAAAAAAAATAATAAATAAAATAAAAGTTAGGGCAAGAAAAAAAGTGAATGCATATATAAGTAATACTGGGAATATCAAATACTTGTTAGCTGGAGTAATCTGCAAATATAATTGTTTTTACTTTAGTTTTGAATTGTTGATGACTAGTAATACTTGAGAGGTCTGGGTGAAGTCCATTCCACGTTCTAACTCCGATTATGGATCAGCTGTGTGATGTGATGGTTGTTCTACAGGGCTTGCTACACAACCAGTTAGGATGCCTGGTTGGGTGTTTCCTGACTGTGGTTTGGAACTGCTTTTGAATGTTAGTAGGCATTTTGTTATGGTAAATGTTGTGCATAATCAGTACTGTTTTAAGCTTAACTATATCAACACATTTGAATAGATTGAGTTTTTTAAATATGGGAGTTGTGTGTTCATATTTACCAACACCACAGACTATTCGTAATACTTTTTTTTTAGATGTTATTATTTTTTGTAGATTTGTTGCGTACGTGTTTCCCCATATTTCGGAGCAGTAATAAAGGTAAGGGAGAAATAGACTGTTATAAAGAGTTCTGTGTATTGCACGCACCCCCAACTCTGACTGACTTCCCGCGTCCCTGTGTAACTGGGAAACTGATAGAATTGGATCATAAGATCGTGGTGTTTTTGCAACTTCAGCATAGGGGATTGGGATGTTTATTGAACTTCGGTTTAACACATGTATGGCTCTGCCGCTCAGCGCTGCTGCTTGCTTCAGTCTGTGTCTGCGTTCTTTCGCACCTGCCTGTAATCTGAGAAGGTCCCGCCTCTCTGGGTGGCTCCCGCCCGGAAAATCTTCAGTAATAGCCTATCAGATAGCGCTGTGGGCGGGACATTGCTCGTGTACACAGAGTGGTGACTACAGCCAGAGAAACGGCCGCATCAGAGCCAAAGTTTTATCGGCAATTTGATAAAAAAGGCCGATACCGATAATCGGTCAAATGCGGAATATCGACCCCTAATTTCTACTCTCAGACTTTGTATTGAATAACATGTAATTTGTTTTGGCCACATTAAGGGATAATTTATTAACTGCAAACCAGTTACATAGTATTTCTAATTCTGCATTAACAATTTTAACAAGATAACCAAGATTATGATGGGAGCAGAGAATGGTGGTATCATCGGCAAACAAAATGAATTTTAACATGTCTGAGGTGTTGATAATGTCATTAATATAAATCAGGAACAGTTTTGGACCTAATTGATCCTTGAGGGACTCCACATGTTATAGGAAGATTGTTTGATTTCGCCTCGTCTATGTCCACATATTGTAGCCTATTTATCTGTCTTGACCCATTCTTTGGCTTGACCCCTTATGCCATAATGTTCTAATTTGTGTAGCAGTATGGTATGGTTCACAGTATCAAAGCCTTTTTAAGGTCAATGAATATACCAGCTGTAATCATTTTTTTCTCAATGTTGTTGGTAATTTCTTCAACCAGTTCAATTACTGCTGAAGAAGTAGTGATTTTTCTGAAATCCATATTGGCTGGGGCATAGTATATTACATTTGCTGAGGAATGACTCCAGACGGTTGTTAAAGAGTTTTTCCAGGATTTTTGAGAATTGTGGTAGTAATGAAATGGGTCTATAATTATTAAAACTAGATTTATCACCAGATTTGAAAACTGGAATCACCTTCGCGATTTTCATTTAATTGGGAAAAATACCTTGTTGGAACGATTTATTGCATATATTTACTAGGGGGGCTACAATGTTTGGTGCAACTTGTTTAACAATATTCATACTAAGTCCTAAATAATCTTTGGACTGTTTACTGTGTTGAGTATTAAAAATATCAAGCAGTTCATTTTCTGTAATTGGGTTCAGGAACATACTCTGTTGGTTGCAGTTTTTCATAAAATCATCCACTTTAGATGAAGTTGGGCTGATGTCACTCGCCAGGTTGGGGCCAATTTCAGTAAAGAACTCATTAAAGCTATTTGCAACATCCGTTGGGGTTTTCCTTCGGTTTGGAATTTCTTGAATTCATTTCTGTTGTCAATTATTTTCTTCTTCATTATGCTATTTATTACCTTCCAAGTGGTTTTCATATCTCCTATGGCATTTTCTAATTTTTCAGAGAAGTATCGTTTTTCACAGTTTCTAAGGATTGTAGTCAATTTGTTTTTATACAATTTATAACCACTTTCATCTTCAGTGCTTTTACTTTTCAAAAACGTCCTATAGAGTGCATTTTTCTTACAGCAAGCGTTTTTCAGTCCACGAGTGAAGCAGGGTTTTGAGTCATTATTATTCCTGTTGCCAATCTTAATTTTAATATATGGACAACAGTCGTTCATGTTTTGCATGAAAATCCTTACAGACTCATTATAGGATTTGTTTACATCTTTAATCTCAAATACTTCTTGCCATTTTTCATTTTTTAAGTTAATATTTAATTTATTTAGAGAACTGTCATTTAATGTCCGCTTAGTTATGTATGTATTTTGTTCTTTGTTATTTACAGGTTCTTTTCCGCAAATTGTGAATATTGGCAGGTGATCACTGACATCAGTGATGAGGGCCCCACTATGATGTTCCGTTTCAAGGACGTTATTGCAAATGTTATCAATTAACGTTTCAGTAGTGCTAGTTAACCTGGTTGGTTTGGTTATTAGAGGGAGAAGCCCGAGAGAAGAAAACATATCCATGAAGTGTCTCGCCTGTTGGTGCGAGTTGTATTTTATAAATTAACGTTGAAATCTCCACACACATAAAGGTTTTTAATTCTATGAGGTCTGAGCATTTTTTCTACTTGTTCATTAAATTCCTCAAGATTACTTCCAGGCTTTCTATACATGCATGAGACGAGTATATGTTTTTTCTGTTTTAGCTCAATGTCTACGGTGACAGATTCAAGGAGGTTGTTGCAGCAGAGGGAAAGACTTTCTACCAATCTCGCAGAAAGTGTGTTTTTAACAAACAGTGAAACCCCTCCACCTCTTTGGAGTTTGCGATTCATATGAAAAGCCATATAATCGGGTAAAAAATTGTCAACAGTGTTTGAGTCAGTTTGCCAGGTCTCTGAGATTGCAATGATGTCAAAAGATCTATTTATGAGTTGAAGATATAGTTTGATTTTGTCACTATTTGCATTAAGGCTACGGGCATTAAAGTGTATTAATGAAAAGCCATTAATAGCTTTAAGTTCTAAGTTAAAAAGTGTTTCGCTGTAGTAGCAGCAGTTGTTGGTAAGATTCCTGAAGAAATTAGAGTCTGGGTCAATGTGGGAGTCGAAACAGTTATGTCTTATTAGATTTTCATCAAAGAGATTTAAATCCTTAGAGTTCACTCTGGTCTCTGTGGTCACTGGGACTGGGTGATTTGAGTCCATGGTGCATACACGGAGGTAAGTTCATGACTGATCATACAATACAGAGGATTTATTTTAACACTCAGGACAAAATACAAAACTGAATATAACGGATTATTATCGAGTGGTCGATGTAACTTTTGACTCACGCTTAATGAATGAAGTGAGGGAAAATAGTGCATAGATGTAATTGCATTATTTGTCAATACTTTACCAAGGAGTCATATTCTTATCCTCAGAGTTCATTCAAATATAGATAAGTCCTCCCTGTCCTTCACAATCGATACTTTTCCTTCGTTTGTTTTGATGAATATTTTACAGTCCCTGGTCCAGGTAGCTTCGATTTTGTTCCTCTTCCTCAGGTCTCTCGCAGTTCTTGCGATATCCACGTTCCTTTTCGTGAGGTGCTCGTTAATGTAGATTCGTTAATGTAGATTCCGGCCCCTTTCAGTTTCTTGGCATTTATCATCATACAAACTTTTGTCTTTCTGTTCACAAGTTTTATGATCACCCTTTGGAATCCACTTTCCGACGGCTTCCCAAGTGTGTGGCAGATCTCAATCTCCTCAGACTTCAGGTACACGCCACGATCGTTAAGTGCCTCGAGCACCTGTGTTTCGACCGAATCATGTCCGTCTCTGTCTGTAGAAAGCGCAGAATCTCCTTTCACTACCTGGGAATATGGTTTTATGATTTTTAATCCGGTCACGATAACATCCTCTTTTCGGGTGTGTTGTTCAAGCTCCTCGATCCTTCTCTCCAGCGTGACAATCTTCTCGTCTTTTTCCTTCATTATCCTCTCCATGTTTCCGATCGTTTCCAGCAGTTTTTTAATTGTTATGCTGTCATCCTTTCGGGTCTTATTTAAGTCACTTATATCCTTGGTAATACTGGATAAAGCGCCCTTAATTTCTAGGAGATCTGCGTTCGCAGCATTCGCTCGTGTCGCAATCTTGAGAAACAGGTGAAGTCACCTGCTAAGGGAAGAAATCTATGCTCCGTGTGCTCCGTGCGCTCCGTGCGCTCCGTGACACCAGGGGGTTTTCCTCCTGCTTTTCTTGGAATAATACAAAAGTACTCCATTCAGCTGACATCTGTTTCAGTTGTTTGAGAAGTTATTTTGTTTTTCAGAATGTACTCCTCCTGTAAATGTTTCTCGTTGTTTTTTTAAACCTCAGCCTTTGAAAGCCCATTAATTTGATTGATTTCCACTATTCAACTAAAACCACAAAATAAAGTCCAACAGCTAATTTACACTTGGAGCAGGCTGGTTAGTACTGTTTGTTGGGGAATAATTTGCTTAGGTATTCAACCTTTGACACAGTTCATCATTTTCTCCTCTCACTGTCTCCTTTTCCACGTCATAGTTCTACGGCCTTGGGTATTGCTGCTATCTCTCTTAAGGAGGGGCAGCTTGGGCGCATTGTTGTTGCCAGTCTATGACAGAGCACAAGCCGCCATGAGGTAGTTTACTGTTCAGGGACATAGGTTCCCTGGCGCACATTCTTTCCTATAGACGAGAGCTCTAGTTAGATGCAGGGTCCATAATTGTTTAGTCTCGCTGATGAGGAATGTTGATTATTACACTCTGAACTAGTTAAAACCTGGAGCTACAGAAAGAGTTCTTCAGAATTGGTTTGGCAACCGCTGTGTCAACTCGTGACACACCACCTGTCTTGTCAATTATTTTTTTACTCAAAATAAACCGTCAGTGTTTGCCATCAAAGCTCCAGCTCTCCTCGTGTCTCTCTGAGTCCTGTTTCCAATTGCTTCAGAAGTTTCCCCCACACTGTTGGCCGTACGATACATTTAGATGTGTCAGTGCTCTCTATCCCTGACAACCTGCATGCTTCTCTGTGTTAGCCATGAAGCTGATGACTGGGCTGGTGGAAGTGGCTGTGATCGTGTCTGTTCAGCAGCAGACCACCCAGCGGCAATACGACAAGGAGAACAGCAAGAGGGCATCTGACAGAGCCTCTGACGGACTGGAGGAGCTGCGGGCCACCATTAGTCAGGTGACACACACACACACACACAAACAAACACTGATATAAATGCACGCACACTATCTCATAATAAAAATGTGCTGTTTTTTTCCATGGGAGAGGATACAATTAGTGCTTGGAGAGATCATACTAAAGTATTCATATTGAAGACACTTTTGCAAGAAAAAGAGAACATGCTCTTTGCCCTTTTTTATGTTTAAATGATGTTCATAATAAATACAATCCAGAAATTCTCATTGACATGTTTGTGTTGTAGCTGCGGGAGAACAAAGAGGAGGTATCCTCCATGATGAACGCTACGTTTCGTGGTGTGTTTGTGCACCGTTACCGGGACCGGCTGCCTGAGATCCGGGCTGCTTGTATTGAGGAGTTGGGCGTTTGGCTGATAAATGACCCCGAAGACTTTCTGAATGACGGATGTATGAAGTACCTGGGGTGGACCCTACATGACAAGGTAGACACATAGAGACAGGACTAGAACGAAAGAGTTAAGTAATGTTTTTACCTTAAGAAATGTTTTTGCATTAAGCTTCTATTTTGGATAAGAGTCAAGCTCTGATTGTCTGTATTTAGGACGTCAACACGAAGAAATCTGCAAACGACCCTCAGTTTGGATTAAGTTTCATCAGATTTTTCATTCTTATCAAATCAACTTTGAATGCTTGCAATGTTGATTTTCTGCAATTTCACAACTGTTGTTTTGTGCAATTTTATTTCTCGATTTTTTTGTTTTGTGGCTATACAAATATAATTTATGTTGCTGTAATTCCCCTTTCACACCAACGCGGTTCCAGGGCCGGTTCGGAGCTAGAGCCTGATAAGCACCGGTTTTCCTGTTCACACCGCAGCGGAGCTGGCTCTAAGCAAGAAAAACCGGTGCTTACCAAGCACCAACAAATTGTCGGTCTTGAAGCAAGAACCGCATACGTCGGAGGGGGGCAAGATTAACCTGAGCTAACAGTTTATGGCGAGTACGGCAAATACAAGTTGTAACAAGCAGTAGCGCTGAGCAAAGTGACTAGAACGTAACCACACACTTTATAAAGTCAGGCAACACTAACCAGGCTTCTTGGGATTCTGTTTATTTGCGCCTTACTTTGACCATCCGTTCGCTGTTATTGATCATTGTGGAGAGCAGGCAGACGTTTTGTTTTGTATTATAGCAGTTATCGGATGGAATCAATACATGGGCTGCACAGGTTGTCCTGTCCGACTATCACAAGTAGAATCATAATGAAAAATACGCCGGTATAATGTGCCTGTAGAAAACGGTTTATGCCACAATAGGATAGCAACAACAAGTAGTCAAGATAGTCAGTTTAGCTTCGGTTGCTATGCTAACATCACCCATTTTATACCAGAGGAACTTTCATAACAGCGTTGTGAGGCCAAACCAAGCCCCCAGGAAGTGCGCCGGAATCTGATGAAGACATTCGTTGTGTCCAAACGGCGGTACTACCGCAAGTGCTAGGACTGTCTTAGGGAAGAAAGCTTTTAGTTGTGCAGCTCCACTAACTTGGAACAGTCTGCAAAAATGTTTAAAACTGAGCACTTTGGTTCCCCTGCATCATTTTAAAACTCGGCTGGGTGACATGCTGTTTGATACTCATGGTACCTGTCACTAGGGATGGGTATCGTTTGAAATGTATCGATTCCGGTTCTGCTTATCGATTCCGGTTCTTATCGATTCCCCGTTTCAATTCCAAAATTGTAAAAGAAAGAGGTCAAACTGTTAGATAATAAAAATATCTTTATTCTTTTAAGCTTTAACTGACATTTTTACAAATAAAAAATATACATGCAATACAAATGTGTTGCACAATAGCTGTGCTTTATTTTAACTGAGCTATGCCTGTGGCAAGCTATTAACAGGCATTACACTGTGCCTTGTCTTTTTCTTTTTTAGTGTAGTGGAGCCTCACTTCAGAGCGTTTACCGCGATCAATCTTTGGTGTTATGAAGTGACTGAGCTCGTGAACTGTCTACGGGAGGGCGGGGAGAGCCTCACTGCGGCGCAGCTTACATGATGCCGTTTAAAAAAATTAAGGGCGGTGCCGGCCGTCAACGGCCCGCTGACGACCGGCCGTTCTGTGATTCTCCAGAACACACAGATGGCCAGTCCGCCCTTACCCTGTATTCCACCGCCGCCGCAGACGGACCCGGTGGAATACAGGGTCTACCGTGTTTAGGAACCGTTAAGCAGAACCGAAATTGTGTATTTTGTATGGGTACCCGATACCCGGCATTTTCTTATCGGTTCTCATCTGGAACCGAGTTTCGGTTCCCAACCCTACCTGTCACTGAAAATAGAGTTTGTAAACTGTACCCTGTAATTTATGTCGTATGTCGTCCTTATTGTTGTTCTGTTGTTTCAATGTGCTGCAGGTCACCCTTGAAAAAGAGATATTTTGATCTCAAGGGGCTTTCACCTGGTTAAATAAAGGCTACAAACAAACTACAATTTCCGTATCAGTCCGTGACGTCACTGGGCCCAGAAAGACTTTTCCCCATTGGGAAAGAGACGTCTGTAAATCAGCGGATACTTTTAAAAAACTAAACTACCCAGTATGAACTATTGTATAGCCCTTATTAGAATCATTCGGTCCTGAAAGTTGTAAAATGCACTAAAAGCCAAATCTAGATTTATTTTCTTTCTCCACTCATTCTACTGAGCCGAGAGTGGGAGCTTGGGGGGGCAGGGCTTAAGGGGCGCATGCTCTGTGAGCGCACATACGGGTTCTTCTGCTCTGACAGCTAGGCATGATGGGTAATCTGTGACGTTTCGCTCTCTCAAAAGTTGGGCCATTTTGTCCTCATGCACCAATGAGCAGCTCTCATAGGAAAGAACGAGACCCCGCCTCCCACGCTGTATCCAGTTCTTATTATACATCCATGGGCCAAACAGCGTCAATTCATACTGAAACACATTCACTTGGGGAATTGGGGATATGTATCAGCTGCTTGTGTGACAGTCAGACAGTGAATACTTTACAGCGGCCGCTGCCTTGTGAGTTAACGGGAGAATAAACTCCCGTGGAAGAGCAGCACTGCAGCGGTCGATAAATGCCGCTGAAACACATTAATAAACAATGAACCACGGCACTCTGGAGAAAAGTATAAGGTTGGAGAAGTCGTTATTTAATTTAATCTGGCTTCGTATGATTAAAAGTAACACGATCATCAACCCGACGCAGTCCCCCATTGTTGTTGTTGTGAACGCCGTTGGGGAGAAAATCAGCGACGTAAACGGTGGCGCCATGACGCAGAGGCAGCACCAGTCGGGCTCTGGGCGGTGTGAACAAAACGGTGGCTGAAAAGATCCGGTTCCGACCCAGAAGAACACTAGCACGGAGCTAGAACGGGAACCGCGTTGGTGTGAAAGGGGCATTAAGATTGCTTCTAGACCTGCCACCTATACACTCGTGTGTATCCCTCTATATTAGCTAAAAGCAGGACGAGAAACATTTTCCCACAGTACAAATTATGTTTGAAAGGGCTTATGGCCAACAGATATTGATTCTGTTGGATAAGATCATTTCAGAAATTCAAGGCATGTATTTAACCAACTATTTATACATGTTTTTAGAATGTAATACTAATGATATTAGTTCAGCTTAAACCTAATCTGCAATTAAGCAGAACCACCCAGTTCAAACAGAATGAATAAACATGCAAAAGTAAAACCTGTGCCCCATTCAAATGTTAATTTATAAGTTTAAGGTCAACGTATTTTGAATGAAGCTTGAAACTGTTCAGTACGGCCCTTGAATCTCACCTGTGTCACAGTGGCAGCAGCTGTTTGTCTGCAGCTCTCTGCAGGGCAGCAGTGGCTTTAGGCATCTTTTCATTTTATATTCAAGATTTATAGTCAGAAAGCCTCTCACACCAGACGGCGCTATTGTAGAATATCTGTACACAGACCCAAGAAAGTTCACATACTCTACCTCACACAAAGAGAAATGTCCTCTCGGTCTTATATCAGTCTGTATGTAGTTTACAGTGTGTTTCTTTCTTCAGCAAAGTCCAGTGCGTCTGCAGTGTGTCCGTGCCCTGCAGGCCGTGTACCAGGAGAAGGAATTCATTGGCCGCCTGGAGCTTTTCACCAGCAGATTTAAAGTGAGGCCTCCCTCTGGATTGGACTCACCTCATTTAATGTCTCTTTTCCCCCTCCTTCTCCCTCCTGTCTGTCTGCCTGCCTGTCCGTCTGACTGTCTGTCTGTCTGTCTGCCTGCCTGTCCGTCTGACTGTCTGTCTCTCTGACTGTCTGTCTGTCTCTCTGTCTGTCTGTCTGTCTGTCTGTCTGCCTGCCTGTCCGTCTGACTGTCTGTCTCTCTGTCTGCCTGTCCGTCTGACTGTCTGTCTGTCTGTCTGTCTGTCTGTCTGTCTGCCTGCCTGTCCGTCTGACTGTCTGTCTCTCTGTCTGTCTGTCTGTCTGTCTGTCTGTCTGCCTGCTTGTCCGTCCATCTGTCTGTCTGTCTGTCTGTCTGTCTGCCTGCCTGCCTGTCCGTCCATCTGTCTGTCTGTCTGTCTGTCTGTCTGTCTGTCTGTCTGTCTGTCTGTCTGCCTGCCTGTCCGTCTGACTGTCTGTCTCTCTGTCTGCCTGTCCGTCTGACTGTCTGTCTGTCTGTCTGTCTGCCTGCTTGTCCGTCCATCTGTCTGTCTGTCTGTCTGTCTGTCTGTCTGTCTGTCTGTCTGTCTGTCTGCCTGCCTGCCTGTCCATCCATCTGTCTGTCTGTCTGTCTGTCTGTCTGTCTGTCTGCCTGCCTGTCCGTCCGACTGTCTGCCTGTCCGTCTGACTGTCTGTCTGCCTGCTTGTCCGTCCATCTGTCTGTCTGTCTGTCTGTCTGTCTGTCTGTCTGTCTGTCTGTCTGTCTGCCTGCCTGTCCGTCTGACTGTCTGTCTCTCTGTCTGCCTGTCCGTCTGACTGTCTGTCTGTCTGTCTGCCTGCCTGTCCGTCTGACTGTCTGTCTGTCTGCCTGCCTGTCCGTCTGACTGTCTGTCTGTCTGTCTTTTCTGTCCGTCCATCTGTCTGACTGTCTGTCTGTCTTTCTGTCCGTCCATCTGTCTGTCTGTCTGCCTGTCCGTCCATCTGTCTGACTGTCTGTCTGTCTTTCTGTCCGTCCATCTGTCTGTCTGTCTGCCTGTCCGTCCATCTGTCTGCCTGTCCGTCCATCTGTCTGTCTGTCTTTCTGTCCGTCCATCTGTCTGTCTGTCTTTCTGTCCGTCCATCTGTCTGTCTGTCTGCCTGTCCGTCCATCTGTCTGACTGTCTGTCTGACTGTCCGTCTGACTGTCTGTCTGTCTGTCTGTCTCTCTGTCTGTCTGTCTTTCTGTCTGTCTCTCTGTCTGTCTGTCTTTCTGTCCGTCCATCTGTCTGACTGCCTGCCTGTCTGTCTGTCTGTCTGTCTGTCTCTCTGTCTGTCTGTCTGTCTGTCTCTCTGTCTCTCTGTCTGTCTGTCTGTCTGTCTGCATACCCTCTCTTTAATCTATTGTGTCAGCTTATTGTTTCTATTTTGCTGCCTGCCTGTGTCTGTCTTTGCAGTATTATTGTGCCCCTCCCACTTCTTTGCCTTTTTTTATTTATTTTTTATTATTATTCACCGTTCTGGTTTGTTGTGTCGGTCTTATCCTTTGTCTCTGGGTGTGTGTCTGGGTTCATTAATTGCTGCCAATTACTGTTGGTTAATAAGCTTTGTTCAAACACATACAAACCCTCCTAAGCCACATGTGCTGCTGCAGATAAATGGTTTTCATGCCATGGCTTAGTGCCTGATCAGTTGGTTTGTATGCGTGCATGCATGTCTGTGGGTACTTTAATGTGTGTCATTTTTACACCCATGTGTCTGCTGGCATGGCTGTTCTTCTGTCTGTTTAAGGAGAGGATGCTCGGCATGGTGCTGGACAAAGACCTGGATGTGGCAGTGGAAGTGGTCAATCTGTTGCTGCTGATCCAACAGTGAGCACTCTCTCTCTCTCTCTCTTTCAATTCAAAGGGGCTTTATTGGCATGAAAGTTAAAAGAAACAATGTTTCTACGTCATGGAGTGGAGCCGAAGGACTGTTTTTTTTTTTTTTTTTAATCTTTTTATTGGCTTTTTGACAGACATCACAATGGCAGTACAGTAGGTACACATGTATAGAAGATGGTCTGTAGGAAAATTAAATAGTTACCTCACCCCTCCCTCCCACCCTCACCCCTATGGGCTATGATCACATTATAAACAAGACATAAATCAAAAAGTTACAAAACATAAAACGCCAGCATCAAAAAAAGAAAGAAAAAAAAAGGGTAGAAATTCCATGAAATACAAAGACCAATAACTGAAAATTACATAAAAATACGGATGCTTCTTCATGTTAATAGTCAGTCAAAATAAATACCAGGGAAATAACGGTACTGCAAGTTACATGAGGAAACAGAAGACAAAAAAAGTAATGGTGAATGTATTAGGGAGATAAGGAAAGGGGGAAGTGAAGGTCTCTCCTCCCCCCCCCCCCACCGGGTTCACTCACACCTCATCAGCATCGGGGTTGATTGTAAGGTCATTGATTAGCAGTAGTAAGGGAGTCCAGGTCTTATGAAAGAGTGTCAGGGATCCTTGTAGTGAAAATCGTATCTTTTCGAGATTAATACACTGTAATAGTTCCTGTATCCACCTGTCATGTGTGGGTGGGGAGACGTGCTTCCACTTAAGAAGAATGGAACGCCTGGCCAGCAGGGTTGTGAAGGCGATGACCCGCTGGGTCGTGGTGGGCATGTTCTGTGTTGGGGGGACGCCAAACAAGGCAGTTAGAGGGTTACGGGGTATGGGTGTGTTAAGGGCCTGCTCAAGGGTTTTGAAAATACTAGACCAGAAGGCATTCAGGCTGGGGCATGACCAAAACATATGTGTGTACTTGGCAGGAGATTGCTTGCATCTGTTACAGGCATCGCTTCTAAGAGGAAATATGTTTGGCTAGTTTAGCATTGGTAAAGTGAGCCCTGTGGAGCACCTTACACTGCATTAGACCATGCCTAGCACAGATAGGTGAGGTTTGCACCAAACGAAAAATGTCCCTCCACTTACTGTCAGATATGTCTACACCCAACTCACCCTCCCAGGACTCTTTTATAGATGTAGTAGAGGCTAGGTCAAAGGAGGCAAGTTGCCCATAAATAGTAGATACCAGCCTTTTTTGGTCACAATCAAGGGTGAGAAACTGGTCAATTCCTGACTCAGGGGGGGGCGGTTGGGAAAATGGGGAAATTGCTTTTGAGCAAAATGCCTAATTTGGAAGAAGCGGAAAAGATGACTGTTTGGCAGGTGATATTTGGCTGACAAGGATGCAAAGTCAGAGAAAACCCCATCCTTTTAAATACTACTGATTGTGACAAGCCCGTTGGCCGCCCACATTCGGAAGGTGGGGTCCGAGCAGGATGGAGAGAATGAGTGATTATTTAGAATCGGAGCTTGGATTGAGGCTCTGTGTAAGCCATGTTGCCTTCTGAATTGAAGCCAAATCTTAATAGTACTGGTAACAATTGAGTTGACTGAGATTTTGTGCATCATGGGAGCAAATCACAGAGTGTAAGGAGCTAGAGGAGGAGGAGATCTCCATGTGAACCCATGGTGGGCTGGAGTTAGGAGTCTTGGGGACAGTCCAGTAAAGGAGTCGGTTAATATTAGAGGCCCGGTAGTAGTGACGGAAGTTCGGGAGTGCCAAGCCGCCCTCCGACTTGGGGAGCTGAAGAATTGATTTTTTAAGACGGGCGGGTTTGTCATCCCAAATGAACGCATTTAGTTGACTGTCAAGACTGGTGAAAAAAGATTTATTGATGCAAATTGGGATATGCTGGAAGAGATATAAGAATTTCGGCAGAATTACCATTTTAATAAGATTGACATGGCCAACAAGGGATAAGGGAAGGGAAGACCACCTAGATAGATCTGATTTGCATTTAGCTAAGAGTGGTTGAAAATGTTTGGGAAACAGATCTTTAAAGGAGCTGGTGATGGACACCCCCAAGTATCTGAAGCCGTCTGATGCAATATTAAAGGGAAAAGCGGTTGGGGGGGAGTGTCTTCGCCAGTTGGTTTACAAAACATAGTTCGCTCTTTTGGAGATTTAATTTGTAGCCTGATAAACGACCAAACTGCTCAAGGTTTGACAATATAGGAGGGAGAGAGGACACAGGATTGGAGACGTATAGGAGAAGGTCATCCGCGTAAAGGGAAAGTTTGTGAACTATACCATGGCAAGTGATGCCCTCAAACCCATTGTGGCCTCTGAGCCATATAGCTAGAGGCTCGATGGCTAAATTAAACAATAGGGGAGAAAGCGGGCAGCCCTGGCGTGTCCCACGTTGGAGAGGGAAGGCAGACGATTGAATGCCATTTGTGTTTACCGATGCAGAAGGGGAGGCGTATAAAAGCTTAATCCAAGAAATACATTTGGAGTCAAAGCCAAACTTTTCAAAAATGAAGAACAAGTAGCTCCACTCCACCCTATCAAAAGCTTTTTCCGCATCGAGTGAAACTATGACTTCGGGGACATTGGACGGGGGCGAGAAAATAACATTAAGTAGCCTCCTGGTATTGAACAAAGAGTGTCTCCCTATCATAAAGCCTGTTTGGTCAAGCGGAACTATAGAAGGTATCACGAGTTGGAGGCGGAGAGACAAAATCTTAGCCAGTATTTTACAATCAACATTTAGGAGGCAAATTGGTCTGTAGCTGCCACAAAGAGTAGGATCTTTATCCTTCTTCAATAGTAGAGAGATGGATGCCATGGACAGGGTTTGAGGTAATCTGCCTTCTTTAAGGGAATCATTATACATCCTTGCTAGAATTGGGGCCAAAATAAACGAATATGCCTTGTAGAATTCGACTGTGAAGCCGTCCGGACCAGGGGATTTTCCCATTTTGATGGCTTCCTGTAAGTGGAAATGGGGTCCCCCATTCCGCCTGCGTTAACTATGTCAATTTGGGGGAAAGTTAAGGAGTCAAGAGGATTTGGGTTTATTGTGCCAATTGTGGGGCATTTAGAAGTTTACAACTTATTATAAAATTCAAAGAAAGACTTGTTTATTTCAATCGGGTCAGAGACTAAATTGCCTTCGGGCGACTTTACTTTGGAGATTCATCTGGAGGCGTTAACTGCCCGAGCCTGTTGAGCCAGAAGCCTCCCAGCCTAGTTTGCCTCAGTTGTCTCTCCACTACGCTCGTTATTAAAAGGTCATGTTCCAAATGTAATAATATGCGTTTTTTATATAAGGTCGGTGAGGCGGATGTCAATTGATACAGGGGCGTGATCTGAGGTGGCTATAGGATGGTATTGACACGCGCTGGCAAGATGTAGCAAGCTGTCATCAAGCAGAAAAAAATCTATTTGCGAGAATGTGTGGTGGACGTGTGAGAAAAAAGAGAAAGCTTTACTTTGAGATTCCTAATTGTGCTGCATAATTTGAGACTACATTAGCGGATTTTGAGATAGTGCCAAGCTTAAGGGATGACCTGTCGAGATGCACATCTTGAATCAAGTTAAAATCTACACCCATGATTATGCGGTGATTGTCTGCATTCGGGATTTTAGCAAAAAGGTTCATAAAGAATTGGTCATCATCCCAGTTGGGTGTGTAAACGGAAGGACTGTTTAAATGCATGTTAAATGCCCAGCATTCGGCGCCACTCAATTACGTAGTATACTTGAAATAGTGGCTCTGCAGCAGGTATACTCGACATTGAGAAACGGCCTCTCTCTTTCTCTCTCTCTCTCTCTCGCTCTCTCTCTCTCTCTCTCTCTCTCTCTCTCTCTCTCTCTCTCTCTCTCTCTCTCTGAAGGATTCGCCTTTATCTGCAACATACATTACAGGAACTTAACTGGCATAGATCAAAACAAACCAAATATTGCAAGTTTTTTACAATTCCCTCTTTTTGCTTGGATTGTTTTGTGCTTTATTAAAACAAATGATATTAATATAATTAGTTATAATGTTATCCAGTTATTTGATTCAGTTGGTCTTTGATCCATGAAAGTGCCTGAATAAGAATCTTTTTATACCAAATTCTCACTTAGAAATGTGAGATGAAAATCCCAAATACTGCAAATAGATCCTGGTTGTCCTCCTTCCAGGTCCAGTTTCTCGATAATAGAAGTGAAATGGTTACTCATAGGTGTGATAACACTCTTTGTCGTACATGCGGATGAATCACAGCGTGATTGGCCAACATCTCCCACCACTGACTCAACTCACAACTTAGATGTAGATAACTGAAAGAGAAGACAATGTGATTATGAAATGTATGGAAAAATCCTACTGATTGTTAATAAAGGTTATATAAATAGCATAGGGTACTGTGTTAAATACCTGTTGAAATAAAACTGAAACACTTTTAGACAAGAGGCAAAACAATGTCGGTTTTTAACCTTGTGTTTTACATTGTCCAGTAAGAGTTTTATGTGCACATATGCAGGAGCACAGAGGGTGGTCTGAGAGAGGAGGAGTGCGGACACATCTATCCGCTGGTCTACGCTTCAAACCGAGGCCTGGCGTCTGCCGCTGGCGTCTTCCTCTTCAACAAGTACATTTTCATGTTTCCTTTCTGCAAACTGTCAGACTGTTTTAGAACATTTGTAGAGTAGAGAAGCGTAAAGATAATACTGATTCAAACCATGGATGTATAATAAGAACGGGATACAGCGTCGGAGGCGGGGTCTCGTTCTTTCCTATGAGCTGCTCATTGGTGCTTGAAGACAAAATGGCCCAACCTTTGAGAGCGAAACGTCACAGATTACCCATCATGCCTGACTGTAAGAGTCAATGTTAGTCAATGGGAAAGAGTATTTCCGGGCCCAGGGACATCACGGACTGATACGGATGTTGCAGTACCGCCGTTTGGACACAATGAATATTTTCCTCAGAGTCCGGCGCACTTCCTGGGGGCTTGATTCAAACCGGTTGATTGTCAGCTAATCTGCCGTCAATTGTTACCATTGTCTTAAATTCCCACATATGTCCTGTCCCACATAATGGTTTTACGTTGCACACAAACACACCGGTGCAGACAGTAACCACCTATTGTCATAGCAACACACACAACTGGGTTGCTAACGTGTGGACTTTCTGCCTAAGTGATGCGTCTTTCTCTTAGCATCTTTTTAGGACTAGCAACACATTTTGCAACTCACACACCTTTACAATATTCCTCATTCATTTATAGTTTAAACAAATACATTGCTCGAGATAGATAATAAATAGTTGACTCTCTGTTGTAGGCTTCTCCGTGGTAGAAAATATGTGATGCTGTCTTATAGCTATAGAAAGAAAATTGGAAGTGGCAGGTCATAAATAATACAAATGAAAAAGAATAGAAACTGGAATTTGCCAAGTAAATTGCATCCCTAGTGGTGTGGCTCTTCCTGTATTGGACAGATATGTTTCAATTTCTATTTGTTGATTGATTTTTTTATCAAAGACATTCCGCCAAATCAAAACATTAGATGTCTTTCATGACCTTGATACATACTACATGTTACAAGCAGTGTAAAACACATATGTGACCCGCTCTATCGAAATCAGTCGGAAGTCGCAACGGCTCATTTAAAAATAAACGTGGATTTGCGTGTGTTTTGTTTGATTTTAAATAAACAAATTCTTGGCTTTCAGAATATGAAACTTTTATTTCCAAAGTCACACGATAAATACATGTTTGAAGCTTGTAAAGGGAAGATGACAGCCACCTCTCACTCGCAATCTGCTCTTCCAGCAGTGCCGCCCCCCTCCCTCCGGCTGAAATGATGAATGTAAGGCGTATAGTAATCATAGATAACACTGCAGGGTCCGTTACAGTTTGTTTTCATCTGATTTCAAATAAACAAAGTCTTGGCTTTCAGAATATTAAACTTGTTTCGGCAAATTCAGATGATAAATACAGCTTTGAAGCTTGTGACGGCATAATTACAAGCGGAGAACGGAGTAATTTGACATCACAGCAGGCACAACAACAGCCGGTGTTTCTCGTGAGTGTTTTCCCCGGGAAACAAACACAATACACACAAATGCAAAATTGCACAAACACACACGTATACACACACACACACTCGCGAGCTTCCCTCAGACCAGTAATCCAAACGAAAATATCTTCCCTCCGTAGTATTTGATCATTTGCTAATAATCAATCAGATCGATGGATTCCAGAGAAGAGGAAACTTTGCCTTTTTCTCAAAATGATGACTCGGTGACAGTCATTATATCATGTGACATATTTTGCTTAATATGTGGAGTACAACAACAATCCTTATATCATTAGAAAGCTAGGAATCTCCTCTTTCCAACAGTATATACAACTCAAAATGTTTCTTCGAGTCAATGCGACTGATTTCGATGGAGCAGCTCACATATGTTACTTCCCTTTGTAACTAAGCATCTGCCTTAAATCAGTGAGCAATGTTCCCATGCCAGTTCTTTATTTTTGGTTGATGTAAATATGTTGTGTGTTTGTCTGTCAGGCTGAAAAGTGTGATTGACAGTGAGAACCAGGTGAATGGTACAAGTGGAAATGCAGACCTCCTTCAAATCCTCATCACCTTCTACATGCAGAGTGAGGTAGTGTCTCTTTCTGCCCTCATTTCCATCTTTCCAATCATGTTTTCTGATTAAAAGTACTGTTCAAATCCTATAGAAATGTGTAATCGTTCACCTTAACACAAAACCGTGGTTCAGTTAGGTCAACTTTTGGTCTTTAAAACCCTTATGAAACTTGCCCCTGGGAAACGCTCTAAAGTCACGCAATAAGATTAATTCTCTGGCAAATCCGTGTTTTATTTTGAGTTCCCTATGGACGACTACATTTATCTACCAGGCTTAGCAGGACATTTTACAGCAGAAACAGTAAAACAACACTCAGGTAAAAAAAAATGTCAGGAGTAAGCCAAGTCTCACAGCAATGAGTCGATTCGCAAGACCAATTTTTGAAACTCGTGGCCAATTCTCAAGTCTGCAGCTCTCGGTTAATGCATGTCACGTCTCAAAAGTCTGTATTCTGAAACTCTCTGCATGACGCAGTACAAGTTTTTATGCGTTTGAACTGCAAACTATCCATGTGTCATGGGTAAAGTAAATGCCATAGAGAGGCGAAGTCCCGCCCATCTATTTCCGACCCATGGGACCTTATTTCGGAAAAATTATGTATTGAAGTCAATGGGGAGAGAAAGATTATCTTTCGATCCCGTTTGAATTGTGCCACGAATTACACATATGATGTTTGTCAATCTTAAAAAATAATTTCCATGTCAAAAAAGTCACAGTTTGTCGTAAAACTGTTGAAATATAAGACTATGAAAAATACGCAATTAGAAAGACAACAAATCCCCAAATCCTGGTCCCGCATGCTGGATCTTACGGAACCGACTAACTCCCCTTGTGTGTATGTACAGCTCTCAACACGCCCAGACTTGGAGTGATTTTCACCTCGTTCAATACTTTTCGCCTCATTCTGAAAGAAAGAAGTGAAATGTGCCAACGTGACGGCCGTCTTGGTGTGTGGTGCGAGACGGGAGATGTAGTTCATGGAGCGGTTTCACACAAAAAAAAGTGTTACTTCACAGTTTTACGGGGAAAAAAATGTTTTGACTTGCAAAATTATCTTTTAAATTTACAAACATATGTGTAATTCGTGGCACAATTCAAACGGGATCGAAAGATAATTTTTCTCTCGCCATTGACTTCAATACATAATTTTTCCTAAATAAGGTCCCATGGAGCTCCCCCGGAAAGGGAGGGACTTCGCCTCTCTATAATTGTTCAGAAGCAGATAAGTGTTTGGCAGCTGGGTATTAAAAGTACGTTTTTAGAGTTAATCTAAAACAATGTCCCTTCTCCCCCTGACAGTTCCACGAGCACGGGGCGTACCTGGTGGACAGTCTGTGGGGCGTGGCGAAATCTGAGCTGAGAGACTGGGAGACCATGACCACGGTTCTGCTGCAGGAGTCTGGTGAGGAACAACAGACCTCAGTCTGAGCTGCAGCAGAGATAGAGCTCAGTGAGGATTTCTACAAGTATATGAAGTCCAGCCAATGGGAATAAAGTAGCCTGCCATGGGACCCTCTGGAGAAATGTTCCATAAAAGCCCTAAAATTGGTGGCCTCATGCACATTATAATGTCAGTATAGCTTCATACTCATTATTAATACATATTTTAAATCATAAATATGTATTGAGTTATTGGAACAGGTTTAGGCTTCATGTGCGTTTAAACCATTCTGTAATCAGCAATGTACTACTACAACTATTTCTAAATGAGCAGTTCCAAAATGAAAAATCATTTCAAGCTTATTTTTTATTGATTTATTTAGACATGCCGTAATAAAAACTGAAATATGGTTGTGGTATGTTTTGTTTGACTAGAATCATAAATACACTCTTATACCATGAAAATAGTTGACGGTTTCAAAAGAGGGCAAGTATTGGTTGTAATTTAAATTATTCATAAGTTAAATGTATGTTGAATAGAAAAGTGTGACCCCATTGATTAATCAGGTGAAACTACTGAATCAACTCAACCTTTAAAAGCAGTATGTGAATAAAGATAATCAATTTAAATGTATATAACTCATGTTATATCTCAGTAAAGGCCGGGACACACCAAGCTAGTTTCAGCCGTCGATGAGAGTCCTGTCCCCCTACTCAGATTGGTGTGTCCAGCACCGTCGTGTCTTTTCGGCCGTGCCGACACCTTCCGCCCCCGATTCAAGGCTGTCGGCAAAATAAATCACTCTGATTGGCTGTTCAGCTTAGCGAGTCAGTGCATGAGAAGCGAAACTTCTAAAAAGGGGTGAATTAATAATCTTTTTTCTCAAAGCAATGATACACCTGTGAGTTGGATGTAGAAAAGTCAGAATCAATATAGATTTTTTTTTATTTTAAAGTAAATTCAGATTGAACATAGTAAAAATGTGTTCAATGATTCAATGATTGTGTCAGTCCAAAAACAAACCCATTACTTAAAGTAAAAACCACCCTTGAATGATGGGATGGTAGACTAAAAGCTTTAAGAATCCAAACTATAACATATAATAAGTACCCTGTATCAAGATTGATGCAAAACAAGTGACATTTGACCTTTTTAGAGAGATTTAGCAACAAAAAACACTTCTGGGGTCATTTGGGTGGATTTGACCTATCTCTGGCCCCCCATGGTCAATTTTGATGATTGACATCTCTTTTTAACCGTCAGAGCCAATAGAATCGAGAGGAAGTTCCTAAAATCCATCTAAACATTACCCATTGGTGAATGAGTGATGCGTAGCCAGAATGCCCAAACCGGAAGCTGTCATACACTCTCGTAGCTATCGTAGCAGCTAATATGAAAATTCCATTATTGACATGGAATGATGGATTATCAGTAATCATTTCAAAGTGACACAGACACATTGGATTAACCTTCAGCAGCGTTGTTATCGTTTTAATGCCATTGAACACAACTTTTGATCAGAACAACAGCAAAGCTAAGACAATGTCCCGTGTTTGCTCCGTAAAGCTACGTGGTGTGATGTCTGGGTTTGTTTCCCATGCCGCGAGTTTTGATCGCTCAGTGATGATACTTATATTTCTGGAATCTGTGGAATCCCAGCTTGCTAATCGATATATTGCTTGTGCGGATCCGATAATTAATAAGGGTATTTTACAGTGAGTTCTGTGCTTAGTGTGTCAGCATTTTTTCGCTCAGGGCTAATTCAGAGCCTTTGTTATTACCATTGTGTTTCGTTTAGCTAAAAATGGTTAATATTTTCTGATAGCTGAGTTTCTTCCCGTTAAGTGGGTATGACACATTCATAGTTTGTTAAATGTTAAGAAACCCTCAGACGCTGTTTCTTGCAAGATGTTGCGTTTTGCCCCCGCCGGCTGGGCCGTCGGGCTTAACTGGTTAAGAATACACACTACCGCCGCTTGCTGGTAAGGAGAGTTATTTCCACTCACGCATACGTGCTACTTGGCCGTCGGTTGAAGTCTTTGCGGTGTGTTCCAGTGCGACTTTTTGGCCAAGACGCAGGAGACGTGAGGCGACACAACAATCGGGTCCATTGGGACGTGTTCTTTGGTGTCAGTTTGGTGTGCCAGGGCCTTAAGTTGTTTCCATGTGCTGCTCCCTCACTGCATGGTGCCTCATCAGCTGTCATCCTCTCACTTCTGTTCATCTGTGTGTGTTGTCAGGTCTGATGTACGAGGAGGAGGGGGCTCTCGTAGAGCTGATGATATGCGCCCTCAGACAGGCAGCACAGGCGAGCCCCCCTGTTGGGAGGACTCAGAGCAAGAAGGTGGTGACACCCAAACACATGCATAATAAACCTCTGTAGTTTGTGTTTAATCTGGAACAGTCGAGTTAGTGGGCGAGAGAAATGTCTTTGTTTTTACTTCAAATATAACCATCATACAAAAAGTTTTAAAGCTTCTATACGCAACTTTGTGACACTAAACAGGAATACATAAGATAAACCACATCAGCCTACTTCATGTGTAGAGAATATCAGTGTTCATCTGTTCATGTCTTATCAAAAATGAGTGCTTATCGTGATATCGTTATCTAGTTTAAGTAACTTTTATTAGGATAGAAAGTTGCATATATTACAGTTTCATAAAGAGTATATCCTTTTAATTTATAATTGTTTGAACTTTACTGGAAATGTATGGTCACATTACTTTGAACACAGGAAGCACACACACATTTAATCAATTTCTGAATGTTTTTTTCCTCACATATGATTGAATTGCTGGCTTGTGACTGTTGTGTCTGATGTGGGATCAGCTTCTCAGTATGAAGGATAAGAAAGCCCAGGAGCATGACAGGAGGCGCCTCACCATGCACTTCATCCCGTTACTGCCACAGCTGCTGGCCAAGGTACGCTCGAGGCTATTGATATTATACCGTTACATTTCTTACATTGTACACAGTGTCCTGCACGAAACAGTTGCACAGTATTGCCTTCACCATATGTCTATATATAAATATACTTTGGAATGTAAGGGAATATATGGAACGGCATTATGTAATAAGGATAGAAAAGACGGAAACAATTTGAGTGTATGAGTAGTGTTTCATTTACTTTTAGTAGGATAACTATTTAAAATTCATTACGAAATACTTTTTTTTTTAAACTACCGAAATATCCAAATGTAATCCTATTGATATTTCAACATTTGCATATTTGTTAATAAGGTAATCAAATGTAAAGTCATCAAGTTAGATTCTTTCAATATTGTGAGAATTGGATTAGGCAGTTGACTACATTTTGTAAAAGGTCATTTGTACTTGTATCTGAAAAAAAACAGTGTTACCCTCTTGACTTGTATATTGCTACCTCATTTCATTGTGAGTGAAGGTAAAATGTCTATGCCAAGTATAGAGAAGCAGTATTTCTTATTTTCTTTGTTGATGTAAAGCCAGTGTTTCTCTCCTCTCTCCCTGGGCTGCAGTACTCAGCAGATGCAGGGATTGTGACTCTCCTTCTCAAAGCTCCCCTCTACTTTAACCTGGAGATGTACAACAGCGTGCCGCGGCTGGAGAAGGTAGGAGTGAAGAATAATCCATTGAAAATGACCCCGTCCCCGTGTTTTAATACTACTAAATCTTGTTTTAAAGTACTACTAGTTAACCAGTTCTCTGTGGATCTCCTCCCAGCATCTGGACCAGCTGCTGTTTCAGTTGTGTGGGATCGTGGAGAAGCACACGGCGGTCACTGTGCTGCAGGCTTGCGCCACCCTGTTCAGCGCCCTCTGTTCCGACAGCTACACCTTCTCCTCCCGCTCTCACCTGGCCTTCAGCCAGCTGCTGGACGGCCTGACCGAGTGCTTCAGCTCCTACCTGAGCGACATGCTGCAGGTGAGAGTGTGTGTCAGTGGAGCTCTATACAGGCAAAAGGAGCAGGTTAAACATGCACATACTTGGTTAACATTAACATTAGTATGTTGTTATTGGATAAAGTCATGCCCACTAACTATATTCAATTAAACTATGCCAGGACAATTAGGTCTTTGTCGTATACAAATGACAAAGGCTTAGAAACCATTATATATAACAACTGACAGCTTGCGTACCATGCTGTGAATGGATCTGGCCCTTCCTACATCCAGGACATGGTTAAACCGTACAGCGCGTGCACTCCGCTCTGCATCAGCCAAACGGCTCGCTGCGCCCTCGCTGCGAGGGGGACCCAAGTTCCCATCAGCAAAAACACGTGGGTTTGCTGTCCTGGCTCCAAGATGGTGGAATGAGCTCCCCATTGAAATCAGGACAGCAGATAGCTTACACACCTTCCGGTGCAGACTGAAAACTCATCTCTTTCGACTCCACTTCGAGCGTTAGAACTATTGACAAAGCACTTATATACTAATAAAGGACTGGCTTTTCTAAAGCCATTTGAGTAGCACTTGAAATGTTTGGCTCTATGAAACCTGATGTACTTATATGATTCTGTTTTCTTCAAGGTTGTGTCTTCCTGGTCGAATGCACTTATTGTAAGTCGCTTTGGATAAAAGCGTCAGCTAAATGTAATGTAAAGGAATACTACTCCTACAAAATTACCATTTGTTTAACAACTGTTTACCCCACGTCACCTTGCGTTCTTGGAAGAGCATTTTTTTATTTGGCATGCCTAAACAATAAATAAAGAATTAAAAAAAACTAAAATTGGGTCATGTTAAAGAACAGCAAAACCATATCAAAACATCCGTTCAAAATCTATAATCCAAATCTCATTTATCTAATTGTATGCTCGCTTCTTCCCAAACACATGCAATTTCAAAAAATAAATGTATGGTTTCAGGTCAGCACGTTGTTTTCGTAGTTGGACTGAAAGAAAGGGTTGATGACCATGGGTTCTCTGAACAGTGAGTGTGTTTCTGTACTCAGGGCACTGCAGATGACGATAGCGTCTACAGTGCAGCCACTACTCTGAAGAGGATTGCAGCACTGAGCAGGTAAGTGTGTGTGTTTATGATAAACATGGCAGCAGGAGTACAGGTTATTTCTTACACAGAAGTGTGTGTGTGCATTTTTGTTTATTTGTTGCGCAGTGCCAAGGACACGACAGTCTGGAAGCTGTTCGACCCTTGCCTTGAGCTTCTGAAGAGCAGGATTGAGTCCAGAGACCTCGACAAAGAGGTTTGTGATAGGGTCGTGTAAGAGAATATTTTCATCTGATCTGTTTATAGAGTCTTTTATGGTTCCTTAGAGTCTGTGATACTGCAAACATCTGCTTGTAGTCAGTCAGAGACTTCTCTGTGGGTTGAGGTCACAGGTCAAACGCGTCTCCTATGTCCGAGGGTTGACCTGGCAGGATCTCTTTGAGACAAGCAGATCATTGTCTTGCATCGGCTAATTGATTATACGCGGGCTTTCTGGAAGCCCGCCTCTCCTCGTGTTGGTTAGATGTTTTGTGTCTTTTGGTTCAGAGATCGCTGGTGGAGCACTGGGCATGTGTGAAACTTAGATGATCTCCCCGGCCGTTATTGTCTGTACTGTGATCAATAAACTCTTCAGTGCTTTTGGCTAACAACGGTTCCAGACTCATTCATTCTACCTCAATATTGCAACAACAGAAGTTTACCTTCACAGGTCGGATAATTTTATATTCTAGAGAGAGCCTTTTGATAACCTTTCAAACGAGGCATTTTATTTGAATTACATGCATTTCAGCCGCCTCTGAAACTGCTCCACGTTGTATAACTATCATACAGAACATTATAGAGGCGAAGTCCCTCCCTTTCCGGGGAGCTCCATGGGACCTTGTTTCGGAAAAATGATGTATTGAAGTCAATGGCGAGAGAAAAGTTATCTTTGGATCCCGTTTGAATTGTGCCACGAATTACACATATGATGTTTGTCAATTGAAAAGATAATTTTGCAAGTCAAGAAAATAAAAATGTCACTTCTTTCTTTCAGAATGAGGCGAAAATCACTCCAAGTCTGGGCATGTTGAGAGCTGTACATACACACAAGGGGAGTTAGTCGGTTCCGTAAGAGCCAGCAAGAGGGACCCGGATTCTGGGATTTGTAGTCTTTCTAGTTGCGTATTTTTCAGTCTTATTTTTAGTCTTATATTTCAACAGTTTTACGACAAACTGACTTTTTTGACATGGAAATTATTTTTGTGTGTAATTCCTGTCACAATTCAAACGGGATCGAAAGATAAATGTTCTCTCTCCATTGACTTCAATACATAATTTTTCCGAAATAAGGTCCCATGGGTCGGAAGTAGATGGGCGGGACTTCGCCTCTCTATAGTTGGGCTGAGCTAAGGTTCAAACATTTTAATCAGGACATTTTCAGCTCTGAATTTGTAATGCACACACATGACAAAAATATCTACATTTTAAAGGGCATTTTCTACTAGTATTCTTTTAAAACAAACTTAAGGAAATCCTGTAATACCGCAGTCTTTCCGGAGGTGTTTATCAGGCAAGTTGACATTACATGTTGTGCAGCCATGCATTGTACAAAATCTAAACAAATTGAATTATTTTTGTCTGATTTCAGCTCATGGTGCCGGCTCTGAAGTGTGCTGCCTTTAACCTGATGTGGGCTAAAATGAACGCAGTCAACTCAACTCCAGCTGAGGTGTTCTTCTGCAGCAATGTTTATTTTCTCCGACATTGCATTCACCCTTTTATAAGACACTTAAAAATAGTTTGACCTTCTCTCACTCTCTCACACACACACACACACACACCTTGGCTCCTTCCTACCTGCTCTCGATCAGAGCAAACCCTCAGTGTGTATTTTCTGTGTGTTTGTGGAGCTCCTCTCGTCTGTGTTGTTCAACAAGTCACCGGCTGCACAGACAGCAGGCAATTAACGCAACAATCTGTTGCGTTTCCAAGCCCACGATGACACTCAGACATGTATTTCCCACTGGTTCACACTTTTTCATTCTGTTTCTTTTAATTAGTTATTTGTCCTCCTCTCTTGAGCTAATTTTATCTTCTTTTTTTTTTACAGTATTTCTCTCACTTTCTCACACATTATGAGATTATTATTATTGATTTGGGTGTTTACATAAACCAGAGTTTGAGAAAACGCATGCTATCTCCTCCTTGTGTTGCATTTTGTCTTTCATGTATTAATAGCAGCACAGTTTGGCAGGTTCTTCACACACACACACACACACACACTCTTGTAGGCTAGAACAGCAGCTGAAATTATGGTGACTTTAACTTTATCAATGTCTACTTTGACAACAGGACAACAGCACTTGTAGCAAAAATTGTTTTTTCTTTCCTTTATCCATCATCAAGAATCAACATGTATATTTTCTACTTTCTTGTTTATTTTTAGTCTTTTATTTTTATTGTGCAATGCCTTGTCTTTTTCTGCTGCTGCAACACAAACATTTCCAAAATTGGGATCAATAAAGTACTTCTTACCTTATCTTATAATAGAGTGCCACAGTGAAGAGTCCTAAAACCCGGAAGCATTTGACCACTTCCGGTTCCTTCGACAAAAAAGCAATGCAATTTCTCCATAGGATTTTGGAAAATATCTGGAAATAAGGTCTGTGGTTGACACACATTTAAGAGACGGATCACGTTTTGTTCTATGACATTAAATACATCAGCAGTGACCCCGCTGGTGATTTTTGAAGAGTTTACGTGTCTGAGTTAACAAGTGGCTGAATAGGACTACAGAAGTTGTCGAGGCCGTTTTACGTCATTGCACCGAACACATAAACACTCCCGCCAAGTTGGTTTTTCTCTGTGTTCTGCTTGAAAGCAAGTCCCTGCCTCCTGCAAACTTAAAACAAACGCTTCAACTTGTACCATTTTGAATCTGTATTTTTGAATATGGATCTTAAGTTGGCGTGACGTTGAAGCAGCGACCCTGCTGTAGTTCGCTTATAGCATAACGTTAGCATTTTTCTTCTGGCGACTAGATTTATGATTTAAAAATTATAAAAGTAGGATAGACATGTGGATATTATCCGGCTGAACAAAACGTGATCCTTCTCTTAAATGTGTGTCAACCACAGACCTTATTTCGAGCTATTTTCCAAATTGCATTGCGTTTTTGTCGAAGGAACCGAAAGGAGTTTACTTCCGGGTTTTAGGATGCGTCACTGTGGCCCTCTATACTGTGACCCTTTTGTTGAATGACAAATAGACGATCTTTATAAAGCATTACGTGGACTTTGGTAATCATCATATTTTATTGCCACAGTCTTAAATCCATATTGGTTAACTCTTCTTGCCCCTCATCCTGTCCTGCACACAGACATATAGAAATGTAATAATCTCCACTGAAATCTGCTCACCTTCTGCTCCAGGAGGAATTAAAGCGTCTGAAGAAGGAGATGCGCTCGTTCTGCAAAGTGTGTGAGACGTGTCTGTCTCTGAACCAGACGGAGATCAGAGATCAGGTGAGAAACGTCGACCCATGTGACCTCAGTGGGACAACGTTAATTATGTCTCCTGTTATGCATTACATATAACTAGTTGCCCTGTTCAAATGAAACAAGTAATTTAACTGTATTATAATTACTTTTTTCCCAATAAATGGTTAAAACTCGGTAATACAGATGGAAAGCCGATGGCGTTGCACGACATTGGTGACCAGCATTGCCTGGAAATATGCCACCAGAATGAATGTAATCTTATATTTTCACAGCAAATTATAAATATAGATACAACCACTTCGTAATTACCAACAATTTGATTAGTAATTCAAATGTCCTTCACTAACTGTAACGGATTACTGTTCCTTCATTGTGTAATTTAATTTGAAAGGAACCAGACACTCCTCAAAACAGTGAACTGATCGTGGCCTTGCACACTAAGACTGTATGTTATTGGCTTGTTGCTTGGGGAAAAGGTTATTTTTTCTTTTATGCTCTTATATTCTGACAACATTCCTGTCAACACAGGTAGACGTATTTGTCCTTGAGCCCTCCTTTACACAAAGACACAAAAAGACTCCTCAGACAAAGTGCTGGTGACCTTTTTGTAAGCGCTGACGTGCTTACCTATCTGTCTTTTCAGAGATTTCCTATATAAAATGGTCCTTTCCTCCGCAGGCGTTCGAGCTGCTGTGCGACCTGCTGCTCCTGTACAGTCAGACTTCGGTCTGCTCGGCGCCCGCCCTCCAGACGCTGGTCCTCCTGCCCTCAGACTTCCTGCGCTCTGAGATGGCTGCGTTCCTCGTGGACTACGTCTTCTCTGACTCTGATGATGACGAGCTCAATGGTATTTTCAAAATAACACCTACTCTAAATAAATATTTGCATTAACCGTGGTACTTTCCAGAACCACTTCCAGGTTGCGGTCGGATAATCCAAAAATCAGCTCCTAGCGTCTAACCCTATCTCCTATTCCTTGACCTCTGAGTGAAACGTCACGGGGTTAAGGGATAGTGGATAGGAGAATTCAAAAGGATTTAGGAGAAGAGACTGCGGTGCTTTAGAGCAGTGGTTCCCAAACGGTGTGCCGTGAGGCAAGTCCGGGTGTGCCGTGGGATTTTGTGACAACCATACGTTATTATTGCAATATACAACTACACAAAAATAATTATTTTTTAATTGACTATATCAGTACTTTGTAGGTTTATATGTACGTAATCTGCGCGACTTGCGCGTCCACATCTCCACGTGCAGTGCTGCATAAACATGGCTGAGTCAGTGATAACTTTCGAGGGGTGGAGGTATGCCCATTATTTTGAGTTCGTCCGAAGAATAGACAGGAATGTGACGGTGAGGTGCAAACTGTGTCCAGGCCAGAAGCTGTTATCCACTGCTGTAAACACCACGTGGTCAAACCTCAACAAGCACCTGCAAAGAACACATGCTAAGGTGAAGCTACCGCACACGCTATTTGTTGTTTGTTTATATCACGTAGTCTGTTCTTCTTCTCTGTCTTCCGGTTGTTGCCTGTTTTGAATGACAAATACACACTACCGCCGCCTGCTGGTAAGGAGAGTTATTGCCACTCACGCATGCGCAGTTCGTACGTGCTCGGCGAGTAAAGTAACGAGTTACTTTATGTAGATAGTAACGAAGTAGTGTAATATATTACTCTTTTTAAAGTAATATGTAATATATTAAAAACATTTAGTAACGACCCCATCTCTGGAGTTGGCGTTCTCTACTCTGATTTACATGAAGAACAACAGGAGGCCACGGCTCTCTGTTGAACAGGATTTGTGAGTGGCCCTCTCCTCAGTGCCACCAAGGATTACAAAATTCTGCGCGCCCCGACAGGCACATGTATCTCACTAAGTTGTAAGTCGGCAAAATATTTACAATAGCACATGTTTCAATGCTGATTGCTGAAATGTTACATTTATCATTTGTAGTTCAGGACCACAGTGCAGCTTCCTTGCATTGACAGTTCTCTGTGCTGAATGACTGCTGAGTTTCCTTTGCCTCATTTTTAATGTTGTGACCTGTCTGGTTTAAATGAGTGTGTTGCTGCTTTGATGAAGCCTAATTTGATAACGTTTCAAATTAATTTCTGTGTGCCTTGAGATTTGTACTTGTCCTTTGGTGTGCCTTGGGCACAAAACGTTTGGGAACCACTGCTTTAGAGAATCCGACTGCACTTTCACTATCCGACGTGTTTATGATGCGCCAGCGGACGTCATGAATGTGCGTCTGCTGCTGTGGGGAAACTATGGAAACTACAGTTTTCTATACAGCGGACTACAACATGGATGTTTAATAAGAACGAGGGACTACTGTAAACTCATCTAGAGACTCTGCACCGTGCTCTGATGCTGTTGTTTTATGAACGTGGACAACAGAGAAACATATTCTTCATGACCAAAGTTGGAATTGAAATAAAAAAGGAAAGTGAAACTTATGCTCATCACCCTCTCCCTCCGGTCCACATTAATACAAATGATCCCAGTATGATTGATTATGAACTATGAAAATATCTTAAAATCAATACAGATGTATTTATTATAAACGTTAGTCTTTAACATCTATCACTGTGTATATCACCATTCAAACATCTTTTAAAAGTTGAACAAACCCCACACAGCTCAGTGAAATTTTGACTGTATTTGATCATTTCAGTAAAAACTAACGTTCATATTTCTCTTTTTGATTATAATACTGATGAACGTTCAAAACAAAGCACTTTGGCAACTTACCACATACGTTTTAAAATGCTTAATAAGCACCGTAACGTTCATGATATCATTTCTCGGTCATAATCGATTGTTTCCGTGAACGGCCGACTGTTGTGTGACGTCAAATGCTGCGGCTGCAATGCATTGTGGGGCAGCATTTTCTCCTCTCCTTTCGGTTAGGGAGGTCCAGTGGTTCCTAAGCTAAAGGAGGTTATAAAGGAAGTTTGAAACCTCCTTTCCTTTCATTTGGAGAATTGGAACGGCACTTATCATGGCTGCCACTGAGGGACTTCCGGGTCATTTCACTCCGTTAGGAAGTGAAGCTAAATGGACTATTCGACTGCAGCCCTAGTCTTTTTTTGACAATGCTGTTACAGATCATCCTCACCATTTTTTAAACTTGTGAGTAGACAAATAGATTTTGTTTTCCTAGTGGGTGTGTAGTGGTTTTGAAACTAATCTTAACTCTGCCAAATCTCTCCCAGAGGACCCTCTCCTCATTTATGCCTGCAGACATAGTTTTTGATGTCTTGTTTTGAGAATCTGCTGCTATAACAAATCCTTTTTTCTGTTTTCACAATGTTCTGCTAATTCCCAAGCCAAATACCAGTCTTTCATCACACGTTTTGCCTGTGTCTTTATCATAACCTGACTGTTGTTTTGTTATTGTTACTCCTGCTCTCCTCTTTAGTTGAGGAGGAGATGAAGATAACGGTTCTCCAGAGGAAGCGCAACCAGCTGGCTGGCTACTGTAAGCTGGTGATCTACGGCGTGCTGGACCTCAACGCCGCCACCGAAGTCTTCAAGCACTACAGCAAGGTAGAGATGAAGGGTTTTAAATGTCACCTATTTTTAGGCAATACCATAGGTCTCAGATATATAAAAAAATATAAAAAACATGTCTATGAAGTGTAACAGTGAACAGATCACCCATTCTAGCCATGCCTCATATCCCTCTATTTCACTTCCTGTTTCAAAAGTGCTGATTCTGGGTATAAACCAAGCGGCAAACTCTGGGGAACAGCCGGGATGCCAATACGGAAGTGCCACACACTGCAGTTCATACATGGGCCGCTAGGGACTGGCTGCAGAAAGGAGCAATTTCCATAGACCCATATTAAAATGCCCAACTTTACAGCAGAAAAAAACATGTTTCTACCCCTGGATGCAATAAATATTATTATCGATATAGTTAGATTCCACCTTCATGATTATGAATCTGTGAGTGAATTGTTTTCTAACACGACCCTTTTATTTATATTCGGTCTTAAAGTTTTTACATAAATTAGGGCGTGGTCACTTTGATGGACACGTACATGCCTCACTGTCAGCTAACAGCAACTTGTCCACTCTGCTAGGCTACAACGTTAGTTAGTCATAGTACTGTACTTGACCCTTTAGCTTTAGCCGTGTTCGTGGTGATTGTGCCTTTTAGGGAATATTGTTACAAATACCAGACAATTAAAATGTCGTGCTGTGCGCTTGAATGTACTAACAGAACTTCCAAGAAGTCTAAAATGATAATATTATACATGTTAACCCCGTTCGCAGGTGTTTGTGTGCTTGGTAGCTTAGCTTGTTACTTATTAGCCAGCTAAGGACGTAACCCTTTGTGCATACATATACATTTTAGTTTATGATTCAGCCTTGGGTAAGACTTTTATAGTCTATGGCTATGACGCCCATATGCTAAACGGGAGCAAATGTTAATAGGGGACCCAATTATCCCAGTGGTGGCCGCCGGAGCTAACGAAGCCGCAGTGGGCTAGCTCCAGCCGGCGTCCCGGAGCTAGCCCACTGCGGCTCCGTTAGGTCCGGGCGGTGGAGTCCGTCTTTTCTCAACGTGTGAATGACAAGCATTAAGAATAACAAAATATTGCTAATTCTCTTGCAGATTGTCTCATTTGATTATGAATGTAACGTTTATATAGGGGAACGACACTGTTAGCAGTAACTTGGTATGCATGTATTTCATGTTAGCTTAGCTTCTTAGCCTGAGCTAGCTCTGTTTACTTCCAGTTCGGAGGCAGCAGGTCCCGCCTCGGCTCCGCCTCTTTGCCCTTATTTGGAGCAGGCGGGATTAGACTCTGACGTCACAGTCGAGCCGTTAGTGGCCGGCTCCGCCTACTAAGGGCTTCACGGCAACTCTGCAGAATCCTATGGGTGACGTCACGGACACTACGTCCATTTATATATACAGTCCATGGTATAAACAGGTCTCTCTTGAGAATGAGACCCTGTGTCTCAATGAGATTTGCACCTGTATAAATAAAGGCAAAATAAAGTTGTTGTTTTTTTGTACTGAAAAAATAAGAGGGGGCGGAGCTTATGCCGGCTCATGCGTCTAAAATGCTGCAGTGATGAAACGCAAGGATTATTAGATCAAGGATTATTTCTGAAACAGTCTGGAGCTCAAAGGCTTTCTCTCTTGCCGGTTATACCACAAGATGAGTTCCTTTTTATTTCCTGCTTCTTCACACACATGCTCTCCAGTACAGGTTAGCTCTGAGTGTTAGCAATGCTAATGTAAACACTAACCATATTACGTCCAAAACAGTCGGGCATTGTTTCTGATAGCAACGTTTCTGATAGTGCTGTGGGTCCGCCGCCGATATTACGTCATATCGGCGACAAATCTGTATCAGCTCCGTTGTACCCCCGTTTTTAGAGATTTGGGTACGGAGGAAAAGAGAGGGTTTTATGACACACCGGGGACACATATTTATGTATAAAAGATGTCAAAAAGTGCATTTTGCATGATAGGTCCCCTTTAAGGGATAGTTACATTTAATTAGATACACATTTATACTTTATCATTAGATTGAATTGGTGTGAGGGTTGGAGATAATAGCCCTCTAGAATATATTATTTTCCAAGTAAAAAAACGAAAAATTTGAATTACCCACATCCATGATATGAGCAGGTCAATATAAGATTTTTTCTCAAGGATTACACCCATAAAAACAAATAAAAACTAGCCTCTTGTCAAGAAAAGTAGATGAATAAAAGATGAATACTTGCGAGGATGTGTAAGAGAGTGGAGGATGGTGATCAAATCTGTTTAATGAACCAGCGAGGTGCAGAGAGTGAGTCAGAGGGAAACTGATTTTAAAAAGCACAGATGACTTAAAGGGAATTATCACAATGCTGTTAACTTAATCTGTTAATGATCATGCTTGAAGTAACTTTGAATGTTTGTGTTTTTCTCTCTAGTACTTTAAAGACTTTGGCGACATCATTAAAGAGACCGTAAGCAAGAGCAAACTCATCAGCCCCGTCCAGAGCGCCAAGACGGTCTGCCTCAGTCTGCAGCAGGTGGGCAACAAAGGGCCATAACAGTCTATAATCATTACATTTATGCAATACTTTCATTTAATCCGTCCAGTGAAAGATAATTATATCACTTTCAGTGTGAAATAACAGCTAAAACAGACAGATGTTTATCAGCTTGTGGCTGAAAACATAATTATTATTATAAAAAGTATTTTAACCAGCGAACAAGTGACACACTGTGGCACATCTAAAGAGCTTTTGGTGTAACATGTTTATGTAAAGTCATGTTTGTTTGTGCTCAGCTGTTCTCGGAGATGCTGACGGAGGACCACAGCCAGCAGGATCTCAGTGAGATTAGAGAATTGGCCAAGAAGCTTGCCATGAGCTTTGGCGTTGATCTTCATCGCGTCCGCAAACCACTGGTGGCCTTGCACATGTACGAAGCACGCACACACACACGTCTCTGACACACACACACACACACATACAGACCAGCTCTGACAGACATTTTGATTTGAATGTTTTTACAGTCGCTTACAGCTCTTAAGGGCACGGGTTTATATTTATATTATTATCTCTGTCATGATAATCAACTCGACATTGGTTCAAAGAAATGTCATTTAAATGGTGAAGATTCAACTGTTACAAGTTTTTCACTCTGATCATTCATTTCGTTTTTTATGTTGCGTTTTTCTCCAGTGCTTTAAAGACTTAATTAAAGAGACTGTAAGCAAGAGCAAACTATTATTTAGTTTTTTATGTTAGTTCTATTGTGCTTGTTGTTTTTGATCCTAGGGATGGTATACATTTTGCATTTCGGAAGCCACAGGAGGAGGAAGAGCCGAACATGAACTTGGCCTTCCTGGAGATCCTCAGCGAGTTCAGTTTCAAGCTGCTGCGTCAGGACCGCACCCAGCTGTGAGAAACAAAAAACTCCTTCACATGAACATGTTCAGTCAAATATCAGAGGAATACTAACATCACAATATAAGCATAATATATAAAGAGACATACCATACACTTGCTTTCCCCATTCGTCGATCACCACGAGGCACCTCAAAGGACAAAGTTACATTTTCCTTTAGCCTACTAAATCAAGATATTTATATATTGATAAGCAAACACAGAAAATAATGTGATCATTGTTGAAATGTCACTCTGTTAAGGCTTTTCCACACGTCGTTTATTCACATTCGAAGCTTGTATTTAGATTCCAAGTGAAAAAAGTGATGCATTTGATTATTTAATAAAACAACTGATTTCTCTGATGTCTTTCTACAGTTGTTAGTATGAGACTGATAAAACTGTCTTCATGGTGTTCCAAGCGGATACATATTTTGATATTTTATAACGACTTAAATAGTTGATTCTAATAGTGTTAGAGCAGAGACATATTTTTTGTTATTTTGGTTTTATAAATGTTATTTTTTTATGTAGCTTATGATGCTTTGTATGCGGCAAACTGTTTGTATTTAACCGCAAATATTATGGGGGGAAATGGATAAATACCTGGACATATGGATTCCAGCAGAATATTTTATGAGATAAAAACATATTCATTTTGGAAAGGGTTTCCAACAGAATGAATAAACGTGAATTTAAATGTTGCTCAAATTTCACCATCTTAATGAAGCTTCAAACTATTCTCTACAACCGCACAAATTGAAATGGACATATCATTACTAATAGAAACATGAAAAATCTCTACATAACCTGTAAATATTAACAAAGGCTTATCTGTCTTTGTCCTCATCTCTCTGTCACACTGTCCTCCCCTCCCAGCGCTGCCTATCTGAAATCAGAGTGTCCCTCTGCTGCCCTCTCCTGGCCGTCCGTCAGGATGTATCAGTGCTCCTTAGAGGGCCGCTCCTCCTCTAAACCCAGAGAGAAGGAGGGAGGAGATGCCGCCTCCTCTCACGATACACCTGCAGCTAAACGCAAGAGGACCACTACCCAGGGTGAGATGGACACACAGGCTAGAAACACAACAAACTGTTCAAGGATTCACAGCTTGTGTTAACAGTTAAAGATAAAAAGATGATCTGTCTTTGATTCACGTTCTCAAGAGATGGGTCAGGTAAGGATCGGGCTGAGTATGCTAAACTAGTGAGAGAATCGCTGGCAACATATGAACACAAAAATGAACATATTTGACCGTGATTTAATTGTAATACACGTTTCAAAATGATGCCGAAGTAACAACATACTGATACCGGTTAGTAAAAACTTAATTATTAAATTAATGATTAATGAATTAATGCTTTGACAAGTCTGCAGACAGACGGCAGGCGAAAACCCCTTTTAAAATGCGTGTTTTCTGAATGGAGATAAGCTAACGCAGTATATGCTCCGTCCGTCCACACTCACAACAACGGCCTACAGACATAAATAAACCAGCGACTGTATTCGCCATGACACAAACAGTCTGTGGTTTGTACTTGTACTTTTGTCTAGTTTCTGAACAGATATGAGGAGCAGTGAGCTCTGAGGGCTAACAGCTAATGGCTGATGTTGGTTTTGTGGTTCGCATTGAAGATGACGTCACGGCTCCGCCTACACTGCATTACTATAGTTACTTCCCCAGCTACTAAACTGCCCGTGCGAGGCCCTGCAGTGGAAATGCGCCATAAGAGATTCTTTTAATAATAATTATGTGAATGGAAGATCGCTTCAACTCCAAAATGTAACTAATGGCGCGTTTCCACTACAGCGCGGAGCCCCGTTTAAGAGGGCTGTGACGTCAGCGGCCCGCTTTTGGTTGCGTTTCCACTTGGCCTAGTACCGGCTAGCAGGTCCTAATTCACCGTTTTTCTGGCCCCATAAAATCGGGGTTCTAGGGCCAGGAACAACCAGGCTGTGACGTCACTCTCGTCTGCTGATTGGTCAGAGAGAATCGTCGCATATAAATATATACAGTGGGGCAAAAAAGTATTTAGTCAGCCACCAATTGTGCAAGTTCTCCCACTTAAAAAGATGAGAGGCCTGTAATTTTCATCCTAGGTACACTTCAACTATGAGAGACAAAATGGGGGGAAAGAATCCAGGAAATCACATTGTAGGATTTTTAATGAATTAATTGGTAAATTCCTCTGTAAAATAAGTATTTGGTCACCAACAAACAAACAAGATTTCTGGCTCTCACAGACCTGTAACTTCTTCTTTAAGAGCCTCCTCTGTCCTCCACTCGTTAACTGTAATAATGGCACCTGTTTAAACTCGTTATCAGTATAAAAGACACCTGTCCACAACCTCAAACAGTCACACTCCAAACTCCACTATGGCCAAGACCAAAGAGCTGTCAAAGGACACCAGAAACAAAATTGTAGACCTGCACCAGGCTGGGAAGACTGAATCTGCAATAGGTAAGCAGCTTGGTGTGAAGAAATCAACTGTGGGAGCAATTATTAGAAAATGGAAGACATACAAGACCACTGATAATCTCCCTCGATCTGGGGCTCCACGCAAGATCTCACCCCGTGGGGTCAAAATGATCACAAGAACGGTGAGCAAAAATCCCAGAACCACACGGGGGGACCTAGTCAATGACCTGCAGAGAGCTGGGACCAAAGTAACAAAGGCTACCATCAGTAACACACTACGCCGCCAGGGACTCAAATCCTGCAGTGCCAGACGTGTCCCCCTGCTTAAGCCAGTACATGTCCAGGCCCGTCTGAAGTTTGCTAGAGAGCATTTAGATGATCCAGAAGAGGATTGGGAGAATGACATATGGTCAGATGAAACCACAATAGAACTTTTTGGTAAAAACTCAACTAGACGTGTTTGGAGGAGAAAGAATGCTGAGTTGCATCCAAAGAACACCATACCTACTGTGAAACATGGGGGTGGAAACATCATGCTTTGGGGCTGTTTTTCTGCAAAGGGACCAGGACGACTGATCCATGTAAAGGAAAGAATGAATGGGGCCATGTATCGTGAGATTTTGAGTGACAACCTCCATCAGCAAGGGCATTGAAGATGGAACGTGGCTGGGTCTTTCAGCATGACAATGATCCCAAACACACCGCCCGGGCAACGAAGGAGTGGCTTCGTAAGAAGCATTTCAAGGTCCTGGAGTGGCCTAGCCAGTCTCCAGATCTCAACCCCATAGAAAATCTTTGGAGGGAGTTGAAAGTCTGTGTTGCCCAGCGACAGCCCCAAAACATCACTGCTCTAGAGGAGATCTGCATGGAGGAATGGGCCAAAATACCAGCAACAGTGTGTGAAAACCTTGTGAAGACTTACAGAAAACGTTTGACCTCTGTCATTGCCAACAAAGGGTATATAACAAAGTTGAGACAATGTGATTTTCTGGATTTCTTTTTTTCTCATTTTGTCTCTCGTAGTTGAAGTGTACCTAGGATGAAAATTACAGGCCTCTCATCTTTTTAAGTGGGAGAACTTGCACAATTGGTGGCTGACTAAATACTTTTTTGCCCCACTGTATATATAAAGCGAAGCTTGCAGCATTTTTATAAACAGCATTTTTGTTAACAGAGGATCAACAAAAATGGCAAAGAAAAGCACACCGTGGTCCGCCGAGGAAGTTACGACGTTCCTACACTTTATTGCAGATGACAAGATCCAGCGGGAGCGCGACGGGACAACTCGCAATATGAAAGTATTTCAGGAGGTCTCTACACTGATGTGCGGAAGCGGTTACTCGAGGACTGTCTTGCAGTGTAGGGAAAAACTGATGAAGATGAAGAGTGAGTATCGCGTAGTGAAGGACAACAACAAGCCGATCGCTCCGCCTACACTGCGTTACTATAGATACTACCCCAGTTCCTAAACTGTAATGGAGACGCGCCATAAGTGAGCCAGTCCTAACGAGCGAGGCCGTGTAGTGGAAAACGCGCCATTAGTAAAGGCTGCAACCAATATACTTTGTGGAGTTTTTCTGTAGTCTTCTTCCTTTTTTCACAATTTATCACAAAAACAGTAAAAGGCCTATCACGACTTCCACCAAACCTAGATATTTTTTATTTTACATTTGTAACTTGTGATTCAGTTCTTGGAATAAGACCCCCCCCCTCCCAGTTTTCTTCTACCTACAATGGCCTTAGTAAGCCGTTGTCGGGCAGGACTTTGTGACTAAATCTTGTCGGCAATTGTAAAAACCAACACATTTAACAAACAGTTAGTTACTGTAGTTGTCTCCTGTCTCCTCCAGGTTCAGTGGCCAGCTCAGCCAGAGAGTCCTTGTTGGACAGCCTCAGTTTCCCCAGCAACCTGCCCACCCCCGCCCTCACCTCCACTGCCCTGAGAGTCGGAGCCAAGCAGCAAGCCGCCTTCGGAGCCACAGAGAATGATGAGGGCAGCGGCTTCACTGAGCCCGAGTCTGAGGATGACTTCTCCATAGGGTCAGTTAACGTGTATCCTTCACATTTCAATATCTACGATCTCTATAGAGAACTGTAGGGATGGCTTGTTCACTCTAGTTCGCTCTGCATCTGGCATCTTTCCATCGGATCTTGGATTCATTTACAGGGTGTCCGTTGGGTCTTAAAAAGTATTCAAAGTTGATAAATCAATTTAGCGAAATGTAAGGCTATTAAAAGTATTAAACGGCATTTTCCAAGGTATTACATTTTGTAGCTTGTTTTCAATAAGTATATCAATTGTCCAAAGAGGTTGAATTCTACAGTCTGCCTGAATGTAATCATTGCGTAGGTGTGTAGTGTGATTCTGTGTAGTTTATTTATGGCATCCCGTTGGACTTGACGTCATCTGAACAGGACATCGCACGCTCACTGCTTGATAGCGCGCGAAGGTCCGTTTACGCCGGTTGTTAAACAACATCGTTATGGGGAAATGCAAGTTTGCGTCCAAATGGTTGGAAGATGAGGAGGAAGGACAATCAATACTGTATATAGTAAATGTGAGGTAAAGTGTGTCACTCGAAGTGGCGATGAGATCTTAAAATGTATGGAAAGGGTCTTAAAAAAGGTCTTAAAAGGTATTACATTTGACCTCAGGATTCCTGCATATACCCTGATTTAAGATGGAAAAAGCTCTGGCAAACAAAAGTTTATGATATTTAGAAGTTTTGTTCAGCAAGATAATCATCAAAACAGAACACCTTTTATTTTTTCTAGGGCTTAAAATCCAACTGTCACATGACTTCACATCAACACCTTCAAACTAAAAGCAGACTAGTGTTTGCCGTGATGACGTTTAATGTCCATGACAGCCTCCTTTGCCTCACTTAACCGCCTGCATTTATATAGTTAATGATTCTGGTATTTACTGAATGATTTTATGTCGTAGAACAAAATGTGAGAAGCTCTTTGCGTTGTGTAAACCACAGACCTTATTTCAGGCTTCCAACGTAACACCCATCAAAACCAACTCATTAAATCTTGGATGTGCAAAAATATAAACTAATTTCCAGGTTGTAGGATTCATAACCGCAACAATTTATTTCAAAGGTTGGGAAATTACTGCCAGGCTCATGTTAAAGCTGGAAATTATCAAAGGCCAATTACTTTCGGCCCGTGTAGCAGCCATTGTTCTCTAAAGGAACAATATGTCCAGACAGCGTGTCCAACGCACGTGGGCTTCATGATCAGGGAACGTTTTTGAATCACATCTACACTTCAGTCCAAACGTACTCTCCCTCGATAATTCAAATCGTTTTAACAGCATGAACATTATGGCATACAGTATTGCCAAAGCATTGTACCAATAATGAAATTAAAACATGCTATCCTTACATTTACATTCAGAATACCCTGTTGTGTTTTCTTGAACAAAAGCACAAATAGCATGTTTTCTTTTGAAGGAACATAATGTACTTTTCTTAGCTTTTCTCTCTCCGGGGGAATACAGTATGTTTAAACATGAAGTTAATATTACGGTTCACTGTCCGCAGCACTCCTATCTGACCCTGTCAATACGGCATCTCCTGTGTAATGTCTTGTGTATGTAACAATTTGCTGTCTTAGGAAGTCATCCTTGCATCCCCCCCCACCCCCCCCGTTATGTCTTCTTTAGTTGCTTGTTGTTGCGTGTTTTGTTGTTTTTTCTGTTATCTGGGGCAATGTCTGTGTTTATCTTATAACTGGAAAAAATATATATATATAAATTTTAAAAAACATGAAGTTAATATTAATAAATCCAAGTTAATCCAGACCTCTGAAATTTAGAGCAAGCTCTTGTTCCCACATCTATTTAATAATCAAGTGCGACAACAAACTAACACATCCTATTGTCCAAATTACATTATGTAAGTTTCGCTACAGCTGACCTGACTGGGTATAGTATACATGTTCATTTTCATTCATTTCTTATTTTATAGTTATTTACCATTTTTAATTTGTATCTTTTTCTTTTAATTGTATCCTTAATCTGTGAATCTGTGCTGTCGTCCTGTTTTTCAAATCTTACCCTGTTGCTGTTAAACTACTGAATTTCCCCACGGTGATTAATAAAGGTCCATCTTAATCTTAATCTTATTTTCAGGATAATACACACAGGGTTCTTACGGTCATTAAAAACCTGGAAAAGTCATGGAAATTCAAAATGCTAATTCCAGGCCCTGGAAAAGTTATGGAAAACAATATTATTCCCAAAGTTTTGGAAAAGTAACTAAAGTTGCATCAAATATAATTTATATTTGATCTAATCGCCGAAATAGTAATACTATAACGATAATACAAACTGTATCGTATAGTAATGAAACGTAAAATGGCATTTAACTGTTGAGGTATTTTGCTGGTGAGAGATTTTAGTTGCTTTAGCGTGTAGGAGCTAATAAGCCTATTTGATTTGTTTTAGATGGGCCCAACACGTTTCATATGCAGACCTTATTTTCCTGTAATAAACCATTTTCAGTGGTACCGCTGAGAAAGAGTAATTTCTTTGGTCATGGAAAATTAGGTAAAGGTCATGGAGAAGTCATGGAAAATCATTGGTGAAAAAGTGTATGAACCCTGTACACAGAACAAATATAAGCACCTTCCACAAAAGATGCTGGTGAGCTCCACATGTAGTAATCCTCCCCCTCATGTTAACCTGCTGCTGTTCAACAGGTTCACTATGCGCAAGGTGAAGCCCGCCAAGCAATGCCATCTCTCCTCCAGCCAGACCGGCACCTCTCTGGATCAGCGGGACCTGAACTCCAACCTCACCTTGTAAGACTGACGTTATAACGTTAGAGGAGAGTACCAAGAGAAATGTTTAAATATTTAGAAAATGTGAATATATATATCGCGTCTTTCATAGCTTTTATCCGGCAAGAATGCATTACATTAAAAATGAACATTGTTTTCTCCCCAGACTCTCTCTGATTGAAGATGGTGAAGAAGAAGAGCCTGAGATTGATGATTATGAGAGTGGCTCCGATGATGAATCTGAATGTTCACTGGTAAAAACACTAAAATGCACTTAAAAGCATTTATTTCCATCACATACTTCTCTTACGATTGATGAGTCTGCTTTAAATTACACAGTTGTCTGCATTATTTCCAAAGTTTGGCTATTTTAGACAATTTTGATTCAATTCAGGTATTTCCAGTCTTCATTCAGTTCAGTAGCAACTTATAATACACTGCTGTAACACTTTGGTGGACTTGATCAGCTGAGCTTCAATTGAATGAATGTCTGTAAAAGTGCATTATACTGGTGATTTGTGGAGCTGACTAACAGCCTAATTAATGGTACATTATGGCGGCAAACAAAATGCATGATTGGGGAACTGTGTCGGAATGGCACTTTGGTTTCCAATGAACATTCCTGTCAAGCTCCAACTTTGTTCGTCCTGTTTTTTCTCTGCAGCCCTCCACGCGCCACACCTCCGCCAGCGTCCTCGATGAGCTCTTTGACTGAGGACACGGAGACCTGTACCGTCGGGGGAACAACCGTTGTTTTTCGTTAAAGTATCTCTTCAACACTACTGCGTTTTCTGTGTTCTCAGTACATTTCAGTGTACTATGTATTTGGGGCATCTGTTCTTCTACATGACCACTTACCAAGTTCATCTATCAGATTTATTTCAGTCACTAATTTTGTTGGAGGGGAAAAGGAAAGACTAAATGATTATGAGTTTTGGGGGGAACATTTTATGCCATTTCACCAAAAGGAAAGTTTATGTTTTGAAAGAAAATGTTTAAAGGAGTTTTCATGTTCTGTTAGATTCCTCTTGGTTGATTCGTGTCTGGTTAAAAGTATCTCCTGTGTCCCACTTTTTGAAGTTAGGTTCATAACATATTTCACTGTTGTTGACTGTTTTTTTCGTGTGTAACGTTTGTTTATATAATTATTATTAAAATATCCTTTATTGAGCAAACGGTGTTTTAATGAGATCACAAGAAAAGATATGTAAAAACAGATGTGATGCACATGCATGCATTTAGAGAATGCACAGTACATCAACACCTTTTAAACAAGTTCAAATATGTGATTGTATGTATTACTGAAAATAACTAATAACAAGTAAGCTTTGAGTTTCTGTTTCCTATTAATATCATGCATTTAGTAATATATGTAATTTGTGAACCAAACGATTACAATTAAACAACCAGAACACAATTCACTGGGGGAAATGTCTACATCAGAAAGTCACACCCTTTATATTTCACATTTTGAAAAGCCAGATGAAAATACATAAACACCAATACTCAGTCTCAATTGCATTTTATGTATGTGTTTATTACCCTACAATGATTTTGCTCTAAAATAAGTGTTACTAATAAATTGATGGCAAAGACCTTTACCCCCTGAGGTCATTTCACTTTCTGCTGACGTTATAAACCTGTACCTTATTTTTAAACAGGTATCTGCTTGGAAACTACCCACATGATCAATATGTATACAAGTTAGGACAATAAATATCTGCATTAATTATTATTATGAAGATTGTATAACGTTTGCCTTACAAATAGCTTGAATTGATATTTGGAGTATTTGGCCATGACTCGGCAGTGTTTTTAAAAGTTGTACTGCAGTCTGTTTGAGTTCACTCTGGGTTCACTCTGTTGTATAAAATCCAATCATTGCATTTCGCGCCAATCCTGACTAACAGGGCGGAAGTTTGTCGAGTCACGTGACACGCGAACGCCCTCAACTTTCGCGCCACCACGAAAACCCCGCCTCTCACTGCGGAAAGAAGCCACGGGATTGGCTGCTGGCTACGTCAGACTCGCGCCACTTCTTGCACGGAGACCGGGGAGAACCGCAAGCTGCAAGTGAATGAATACTAGTCTCCGGTGATATTGGAGTAATTAAACCGTGAATTTAAACTATTTGAGTCTGTAGGTATCGTTAGGATTTTGGAATCAAGTTATCTCACCTGAGGGTCAACGTCTGCAGTCATGGCTCGTAAGGATTATGCGGCAGAGAAAGGTAATGTGTTAACTTTCACAATAACGGCATGGCAGCAACAGGTTGGCCCAAGTTAACGGAGCTTAACTTTAAACTAAACATCTTCTTCAAAATCTCTTTTTGAAAACCTACGTTCCTGATTTGTGTAATGCAGTGTAGTTGATAAAAATGCAGCTAATCTGAAACGAGTCGTGTTTGTGCACAAACAATTGAGTAGCCAGTTTGGTTACTTTACCTCTTCGTTTTCCCTCTCCTCTAACTCCAGTTCATTAGACCACAGCCCATTAGGTCATGTATGTGTATTTTAAAACGTTAGGTGAAAAAAGAATCCGGGAAAATAAACGTTGCAGTAACTTTTCTCCTAAGTAACTAGTTAAGCATTACCTCTGTTAGACACAGTGAGTGACCCGGATGGAACCGTTTAAACAAAGGAGCAGGCGCCACTGTGGAAGCACATGTCCAACAATACGTTTTTGAAAACGAAGAGGAATTTCTCAAACAACATATTTCGGTTAATATCTAGACATCATATGATCATTGTTATTTCATGTGCATTTTTACGATTTAAACTCACAATACACAACCTCACGACATGCATGCCGTTTAAGAATAATGTGTGACGTTAGACATTCACGTTTTTTAAGTTATACAATTTAGGATAACGAGCTAATGTTGTTTCTTTGGTTAAGAAAAAAGGCTCTTTCTCAATGATAAAAGGTACACTAGTAAAAAGTCAATAAGTTATACAGTTGCGTAACCTCCACGTTTACCCATCAATATATACAAGACCAATCACTTTTCAGGACTTTAAGTCAACATTAAATAACTAAACTGGCACTAATTAACTGCTAGCTTCCACAACCTACGTTAGCATGCTAGCCGGTTAGCTAGCGGTGTTGCTTGTCAGTTGAACAAGTTAACGTACCGTTTTGCATCCAACTGTTTTGATAAAAAATGGCAGATGGTTAGTCACCTTGTTGCCCTATGCTTTGCTAAGGGATACTTGCTTGAAATGCTGGTTTATGTAGGGGATTGAGTCCACGAAGTGATGAATAAACGAATGGTATTTGTTTTAATGTTAAAGGCACCCCAACGGAAATGCCTAATATTCAAAATGAGTACACAACAATTGAATTTGAGTTTTAAAATGTGTAACTAACCATGATTTTCCTATTTTATTTAACTAGTAGTTCTGTTACACTGGCATTTTATCTAATTTGCCTTAAACTTAAAAGGCCATACCTAACAATAAACCGATAAAATGTATATGTATTTATTCCACTGTACAGTATTTAATTGTACATTTTGTTCTTGTTTATCTTATTCTATTTACACGTATATAGACACACATTTATTTATTACTACAATAACTATTTATTCCACTGTGCAGTATTATGTTCTTGTTTATCTTATTCTATTTACATGTATATAGACTTCTGCATTGACTTGATCACTTGCCAGATTTAGTTTATTGCATTTTATTTTAAATGTATATCGTTTACTTATGCATTAATTGCACATTGGTCTTGCAACATACTCTTTATTCCTACTGTTTCTTCTTGCACTATTTTTGTTTGTTTTTATTTTTTTATATCTTGTGTGTGTGTATATATATATGTATATATATATATATGTGTATGTGTGTATATATATATATATAGGTTGGAGGAGCCTGGGACCTAACAGTTGTATTGCCATAACTACTCTGTAGCTATTGTGCATATGAAGAAAAAGCCTTTGAATCTTATAGGTTTTACTTGGAGGATAGGATCCATCAGAAATCTTGGAAGTTATAAATCAAGTCGGCGACATTTTACCGGCTAGGGATTATGTAAATAGCGGCTAATATCGACGGACCTGTCCGTGTTAGAAACACTCAGCTAACCCGAGCTAACGTTAGAAGATGGCTGGCCCTGCTTTTGAAAACAACAGCAGGACTATTTTTAAGAGCGGAGGGATACTCAGTGACGAGGCTAAAAAGCCATGTGCTGCTTTGTTTACAATAACATCCTCGAACAGAGAAATAATAAACCAGATGTGCGGATTTTCTGCTAAAGCGACAAAGTAAGTAGTGTTTTAATAATCGCGGTTGGGCTGATTTCATGTCTTGTAACGTGGAATTAAATATTGTTAGTTGCTGTGGCTCTTTCGAGAAGTGAAGGATGTTTTTGTCAAAGAAAAAAAAATGGACCCTGAACTGAGCGCGCCTGTTGTTGTATTTACATTATTTCACCGAAGAAATCTGCTGCGTAATTGTCGGGTATTTCACTTTAAAACTTTGGTAGTTGGTACACACGAATGGAATTTGGTTCATGTATTACAGCAGAGGCACTTTGCGCTCTAATGAAGGCAATGGTGACTCATCGAGATTACAGGATGCCATGTTACTCAACAAAGGGGTCGTCGCAGGACAACAAATTAGCTTCCAGGCCCGGTGGTGGTGGTGTTGTTAATCACACATTTATACTCAGAAAAGCAGCTTTAATATATAAACAATTTAAAAGATAACCCCAGAAAACAATGATGTATCTGTTTGAATAATATACAGTATGGTGGACAAACAAATCTCTACCTGGTGTTTACTTGATGTAGCCTGTTTTGATTTTTTTGCTGTGAAATAATTCTGAAGATTTTTCTTTTTGCAGACAAATGCAAAAGGGTCCTGCAGGAGTTTTATTCTGAGGACGACAATGGGAAGAAGGTTTTCAAATATGGAGCTCAACTTGTAAGTACTACATTTATATTTCTTATTTTGATAGTCAATTAATGTTCAAAGAAGATTAAATAGTATTTTAGCACCTCAAACAACTGCTTTTCTGTTTCTATATTATAATAAACTGATGTTATCTTTTGATGTTTGACTAATAAACGAGATGTTTCAAGACAAAACCTTTGACTTTAAGGGACAGGGAGGGAAAATGTTTGCTTATATATATATTTTTTTTTATACCAAACAATTTATCAATATAAACGCCAGCTTAAGCAATAAATAAAATAATCATGAGTTGCCGCCACAAAAGCTTTAGGAAGTGGCTTTTCCCCGGAATATAGATTTGGACATTATCACACAAACATGAATAATTTAAGTGGAGAAGCAAGCTCAAATTAAATGAGTCAACTCGTGATCTTTTGTCTTTAATAGTTTAGCAACCATTTAGTCCTAATGTAATTTCTGAAAGTATTGATTCATCTATTTTCTTCAAAACTAAAGGAAGGCCTCAAGCAGCAAAATGGTATTAACTGATAACTTGGGAGCATCCATGTTGCTTGGGTGTTAAGAACCTGACAAATACTTTTTTCCCACATTATGAACTCATACTTATCACAGTTTGAAAGTGTAAAGGTGTCATTGAGCCTTATCTGTGCATAAAAGGTATTTTAATGGGGTGGCTCATCATGTTGTCTGTTCACAGGTGGCGCTGGCCCACAGGGAGCAGGTGGCTCTCTACGTGGATCTGGACGATGTGGCCGAGGAAGACCCCGAGCTTGTTGAGAGCATCTGTGAAAACGCCAAGCGCTACATGGTCCTGGTCGCTGACGCCGTCCACGAACTGCTGCCAGAGTACAAAGAAAGAGATGTACGTGTAAATGCACAGTTGAGCTTTTACGTTTCAAAGATAAAAGCATGATTAGACTCAACAAAGGCCATACGTCTATCAAGTCACATTATTTAACACTTTATTGTTCTTTTTGTAAATTGGTCGTGACGTTTTAAATGGCTTATTTTTAAAAGGTTAAGATTATCTGTTACTAGCATAATGTCAGATAATATTAAATATGAACAGCTGGTGAAACAAAGGGACAACATACATTAGCTGCTGGTATAAAACAGTTTATACACATTATTTTTTACCAATTTCATGTTAACGTTCAAGACTATAAAGGCGGGTGTTATTCATTAAATGGAAATGCTTTTATATCTAGATTGTTGCCAAGGATTCTTTGGACGTGTACATTGAGCACAGGCTGATGATGGAACAGAGGGGTCGCGACCCTGCAGACACCAGAGACCGTCGTAACCAATACCCTCCTGAACTCATGAGGAGATTGTAAGTTGAGACTTATTTAGGTTTTCATTTTAATAATATTTCAGGTTTTTTGATAATGGCTGCTGTGGTCTTTCTTTTCACTAAAGCACATGCAATTCCATTTTGGATACCTTTCTCATGAACTGTATCCTCCTTCCACAGCGAGCTGTACTTTAGGGCTCCCACCACTTCTAAACCCAAAGTGGTTCGTGACGTGCGAGCGGACAGCATCGGGCATCTGGTGAACGTTCGCGGAATAGTGACTCGCGCCTCTGAAGTCAAACCAATGATGGCTGTCGCTACATACACATGTGACCAGTGTGGTGCGGAGACCTACCAACCTGTAAGAATGGATTTTAGTCCTCTGGGCCCAGGAGTTCAACACTTGTAATCCCTATCGGATCAGATTTGGATTTTGGGTAGTTCAAAAACAGGAAATCCAATCCAAGCTTTAATCCGGATCAAATCTTCAAAACGGGTAGTTCAAACCGACAACACAGGATTGGGGTCAGTTTGATCCCAAAAAAACTGGATTATTCTGATTCCACCAGAGGGGTGGATTACCAGAGCAACATTTACTGTACAATTTATTTTAAAATATGTTTCAATTTAAATTAGATAGCGAAGTTTGTTACATACATATAATACACAATGTTTAGCCTTCATGGGAAATACATTTTAGCTCACGTTTGTGGTGGCCTATTTTGTTTTCAACCAAATGTTGATGACATAAATGTTTATGCTCATAAAAGTATCACAACAAAGATTGTCAATCACAAATGTAATTTACATTAAAGTAAAAATATCTTCAACAAAAAAAAAGTCCGTCATCACCTTTCAAATTGGACATTATAGATGTCTCTGCAATGTGGTCTCTTGTTTTCCTTGTAGTAGTTTTCATATCCACTAGATGGCGATCGGTAGGATTAAAACGCTGATATTCAGGATCTAGTAATCTTGAAAGATCTGGATCAGGGTGATCCTATCCTGAATTGCTTTGAACTACAGGGACAACATCTGGCCGACTTGTTTGATCCTGGATCACAAACGATGGGATTTCAAGATCTGATAGAGATGAAAAGTTTTGAACTCCTGGGCCCAGATCATTATATACTCGGACAATTCAGACATTTATCAAGTGTTGCTCATAAATCAAATCTTTTTGGCCTTCAGATCCAGTCTCCCACCTTCATGCCCCTCGTCATGTGTCCCAGCCAAGAGTGTGTCACCAACAAATCTGGAGGGCGGCTCTACCTGCAGACCAGAGGCTCAAAGTTTGTCAAGTTCCAGGAGCTGCGTATTCAGGAACATGTAAGGAACTTCAAATAACAAAGTGCCCCCTCACTGTTGCCATGAATTGTATTCTTGTGTTTACGGCATGTTTATATTTATTTTGTTGTCCCACAGAGCGACCAGGTGCCCGTCGGAAATATTCCAAGGAGCATGTCTATTTATGCCCGCGGAGAAAACACACGTCTCGCCCAGCCAGGAGACCATGTAGCCATCAACGGAGTCTTCCTCCCTCTTCTTCGCACAGGATTCAAACAGGCCACTCAGGTAAGGGCTTTTATCCTGAATTAAGTATTTTTATCTTAACTTAGCGCTCAAGCATACCTGTAGAAATTGTAAGGCGCTGTATTTGTTTGTCTTGACATCTTTAATAATGAAAATGCATCCCATCTCCAGGGTCTTCTGTCAGAAACATACATGGAGGCTCATAGCATCACACTCATGAACAAGTCGGAGGACGATGAGCTTGGCAATGATGATCTGAGTGAAGAGGAGCTGCGCAGCATCACAGGTGAGAGCCTGCATGCGTGTGGTGGCTGTATTCAATAAAACTAGAACTGTATGACTGCCGAAAGCTGACATTGATGATAACGTTGTCGCTCTTTTAGCAACTGAAGTGATTTTATTATCTGTTACAGAGGAGGGATTTTATGAGAAGCTAGCCGGCTCGATAGCACCAGAGATCTATGGACACGAGGATGTAAAGAAGGCTCTGCTCCTGCTGCTGGTGGGAGGGGTGCAACAGGCTCCCAAAGGCATGAAGATCAGAGGTGAGCAACAACTAGAGTTCCCTTTGAAAATCACTTCTTAAATAAAGGGGGTCCCAGTGGCAATTATGGGAAAAATACACTTTTAAAAATGAATTCTCTGCCGAAGCATATCATGAAAAACGTCTTTCATCTAACAATAAAGTTTATTACAGTAACGACATTAATCGTAAGGTTATGCAAATTTGTGTTATTATTAATTCAATAACAGATTGTGTGCACGTCGCCAACTGCTTTCCTATCCATATGTTCGGAGCACAAAGCCTTTTATGAAATGTTCTAATAACTGCAATGCCCTGTCCCTTAAGGCAACATAAACGTCTGCCTGATGGGAGACCCCGGAATGGCCAAGTCCCAGCTGCTGTCCTACATTGACCGTCTGGCTCCTCGAAGTGAGTACAGTCCTGTTTGTGGGAGTGAAAGTCCTGTCTCTGGTTTAATGTTTCATCCAGTCAGGCATTTACTTTCCATTGAGGCTACATGGGGAAATATTAACTTTTGGGATGGCACTGACTTACTACAGAAGACTATAGACTGTTGTATTGTTATTGCTTTGTGGGTTTTTAATAACTCTACCCACAACTTTGACAACAATATTATACCTCTCTAAATACCAGTTAAATAAAATGCTGCCATTCCATGTGTTTGCTCACTTCCTCGTATCTTCGTTTTTCAGGTCAGTACACGACGGGTCGCGGTTCCTCCGGTGTGGGTCTGACTGCAGCGGTGATGCGTGACCCCATGACCGGAGAGATGACGCTGGAAGGAGGAGCCTTGGTGCTCGCTGACCAGGGAGTCTGCTGCATTGACGAGTTTGATAAGATGGCCGACGCTGACCGGACAGCCATCCACGAGGTTATGGAGCAGCAGACCATCTCCATCGCTAAGGTAAAGTCAACAGCACTGTTCATTGGTTGAGATATTTAAATCTAACGCCTGCATCACATCTAAACTCATGTTTTTAACTATTTTTCCAGGCCGGCATCATGACCTCCCTCAATGCCCGCTGCTCCATTCTAGCAGCCGCTAACCCCGCCTACGGCCGCTACAATCCCAGGAAGAGCATTGAGGCGAACATTCAGCTTCCCGCCGCTCTGCTCTCCCGTTTCGACGTGCTGTGGCTGATCCAGGACAAGCCGGACGCCGACTCTGACCTGCGTCTGGCCCAGCACATCACCTACGTCCACATGCACTCCCGCCAGCCGCCTACTCACTTCACCCCCATCGACATGAAGCTGATGAGGTAAACATCTGCTTTGTGTTTGAAAACGTTTAAGAGGAGACCCTACAGGTTCTTAGGGCAATAGATCTCATCATAACATTCCCCAATAAACTACTTTCATGAAGACGAATACATTACTCTGCACTGCATTTTAGATTTAGATAGCCTTATCTGATGTTCTACTTTGCCCTGTTCACAGCATCACTGGTACACCTTTGACAGCTTTTTTAAAAGTCTGAAAGAAGACATGTTATGGAAACACGCTAACAAAATAAACCAGTGCATGTACTGTCTCGCAAGTTTGTCTCTGAACAGTGTTTCAAACTAATAATTGATGTAATACTCAAAACATTTTAACAAATTCTCCACGGTTAATTCCTCCAGGCGTTACATGGCTGCGTGTAAGAAGCGGCAGCCGGTGGTGCCTGAGTCGCTGGCTGATTACATCACCGCTGCCTATGTAGAGATGAGGAAGGAGGCCCGAGTCAGCAAAGACACGACCTTCACCTCGGCCCGAACCCTCCTCTCCATCCTGCGTCTGTCCACTGCCCTGGTGAGAACTTCACCTCCACTGTGAAAAGCTTTGGGTTGCAGGAAAAGCTTGAAATCATTGAAACTGAATGGGTCATTTTTTCCAACATAGGAGTGAATTTGACGTCCCTGTATGTCTTTTATCAATCGTCCAGTTTGTGATAAAGTGCTTACAGTGCAGGTAGTGATTATAACCTGGCCTACTGCAATGTGAGCACTTCTTTCCCACGGCGGACAAAAGATCTACTGTCTACCAAATATTCATCATTCGGCAAATCGCATAAATAAATGCAAGTGTTCTTAAATGTATTTTGATCTCTGGAATGGCATCACGAGAAGTTAATTTCCTGAATTCAACTGATTCATGGTCTGTTCTCTGCCGCTGGGTGTCAAAAGTGCTGTTTGTGCAGGTAGCAGTCATCCACCTACTGCAAAACCAGCACTTCAGGCACACGGTTCGGCCCTGTGCTGCACACTGACGTCCACCAGGGGGCGAACTGCTGCCGTCCGATTGAGTTGTACATGATTTAAAGAATGACTATTTTCTGCACATAGACCAAATTGTGTGTTTGTTGTGATGCTACAGATGTTTTCAGTTAATCGTCTTGAGGGAGCTCTTCCTCTGATCCTGGCCAGCTTTGCAGGGTCGGCAGTCAGCCTGTGTACTCTAGGTGCCGCTGTGCAAACCCATGCAAAACTGACCATGGCCAGAACCGTCATCAACATGTTCGATCCTCTTTGTGTGTGATTTGAAGAAGAAAAGACTTTGAGCTTCAATGTTATTTGTACCCTATGGTGTGTTTTAATTTTCACATGTAGAGAGACTAGCTGGTGTTGAGAGGCGGAGACTTGGGCAATTGCCGGCCATACCAGAGGGCATTGCACTTGTCTCGGTCTGACAGTGCCGGCACAGCGCAGCCTTCGTTATCGAGAGATCAAACCAAATATTAAAGCTGCTGCGTGATTATTCTTTTCCATCTCAATCAGTCCCCACTCGTTTTGTCCCCTCTCTGCAGGCTCGCCTTCGCTTGATGGAGACCGTGGAGAAGGAAGACGTCAACGAGGCCATGAGACTCATGGAGATGTCCAAGGATTCACTTCAAGCCGACAAGTCCAGCGCCACAAGGTCAGTGTTTACACTTTCCTACTGATGGCATTTGATTATCTGCAACACGAGTGACCGGATATCGTCCAACCCCAAATCCCCTTTATGAGTTTGTTAACGGTAGCTGCGTGTCCTGGAGGAAGCCGTAAAACGTCTCTGGGTTTTTATGGAGCTCTCTTCACACGGAAGCATGTAAACTGAGAAACATGTTGGCACCCCTTACCTTATACAAATTTTAAACATTCAGGAGGCTTTAAAAAAGGAATGTGAAAGGGAAGGAAGCCAGGTTGTTGTCTAATTGTTTTAAAGCAACAACAAAAAGTATCTTCTTAAAGATATAGCTTTATATATGTTGCTTATTTGCCATCTTGCTGAAACTCCGCTAAGTATATATGACGCTCCTGTTATTCAAGAGGCAGTAGATGGTTAGCTTAGCATAAAGACTGAAATCATAAAGTGACTCTGTACAAAAGCTACAAACTGTCTTCTGATGTCCTAAAATGTCCTCCTCTCTGATTCCCTTCTCTCCAGGGCTCAGCGTCCGGCCGACGTCATCTTCTCTCTGGTGCGAGAGCTCTCCTCCGAGGGCTTGGCTGGAAAAGGTGGCGCGGGCGGGGTGGTGCGAGTGACTGAAGCAGAGCAACGTTGCACCTCCCGTGGCTTCACCCCAGCCCAGTTCCAGGAGGCGCTGGAGGAGTACGAGGAGCTGAACGTGTGGCAGGTGAACCAGGCCCGCAGCCGCATCACCTTCGTCTGAAGAAACACCCCTTCATGCACTCCGAGGGAGAACTCTTTGTTGTGGGCTTTCTACAGACTTCTATCGGGGCTCTGCTCATTTCCTCCGGCAGCATCAAGCAGAACCTGGACATTTTGAAGCCTGACTATTTTGCAAGAGTCCCTGCTGTTGGAAAGTCCATCGCTTTTTATGTTAAGATTCCTGTTGTTCCTAAATCTCTTGTAAATATGCATGTCAGAATTTGGGATTGTGTAGCATTTGCAGTTACGAGTTTAACGCTTCCCCTTTTTTTTGCATTTCTGTATATTTCATACACTTTCAATGCAAATCTTGAAGATGAATTAGTGTTGGGCCTTGTGTTGTGAATGATAGTTATAATAAATGATGGTTCAATACTCTAATGTGGTTCATTGAGACTCCACTGTGCATGTGAAATGTGCCACAACCCCCCCCTGCTAACACCTGGTTTATTGTTTGACATAATGGCTGCTTTCAGGACTTCCTTAACATGCCTTGCTCATAAAACATGCTAACATGCAGCGCTGCAACTAGCAATTATTTTCATTATTGCTTGGTCTTTAAATCTGTTTAATATCCCGTTTCCTAAAAGCCCAAAGCTGTCTTCAAATATGAACGGGTTAACAGGGTCTGCAGGGATCATTCTGATAACATCATTTGAGATGATATTTCAATCATTTGTGCAAAGAAAATGTTAAATATACTTTAGTTCCATATCTGGCCACGATAACTTGTCTTTCCTGACTCACAGTCTAAAACCCAAAGACGTTCACATACCGTTTGTAAATGTTACTTTAAAAAAAAGTATTCATTTGTAAGAAGGACCTTTTTGGAGTTGACTACCAGCTGAATGTTTGACATGTATTTAGTGTCTTAAATGATACCTCTCAAATACAAACCTAAGACAACAATTGGGATTTACTTAAGGTGCATGGTGAAAACTAGCTCGAGTCTTACCTTGTACGCCCATTACATTAATTAGCTTGTACAGTTTAAAAAATGTTCTACATCTATACACTCAAACGTATTTTGTTTATCTTTAAAAGTACCAAACATCAAACTTGATAGACGCTTATCCAACAACTTTTGGAAGCATCTTAAGTTTGACTTTTGTGTAGTTTTAAAACCCTCTAAATCTCTAAAGTTCAGTGAGTTTATAATAATAGTTGTTTATGATAACGTAAGAGAGAATAATTTAAGAATTCAACCTCATTCTGATATTGAGTGCTAAATGTAGCCTACTATTGAACATGTCGAGACAGAGTTGATCGCCAGTGTCCACGTCTCTAATGTTGAAAAGCAGGTGTCCTCTGGGTAGAAATAACAGCCTTGTTGAGCCGACAGCGTTTTAGAAATCTCTAACAACTCATAAAAGTACATTTTAAGGCCGAGCCGGTCGTCATCTAGGATTTTTACTGTCTTTTTGGCTGAGATATTGTGTTGGTAGGCAGCTTTTCCCCCTCAGTTGCAGTTGTCCCAGCGGGTGATGCTTTCCCTCCAGACTTAATGGGGAGTTTCCATTTGAAGTCTGTTCTCTTTATGGCTTTGCTGCTGAAGCTACAGGGGCTTTTTATATCCATAATTGGCGCCAAAGGCCCCTTATTAAACGGTATTAAAAGAGAGGTGGAGTTTTGTGTCAAAGTTGTCACAGTCCTATTGGACGGGAGGAACTGTTTCAGGGGGTTTGACACACAGATCTGTATTTAACCCTCTTGGCCCTCTGAGTGCAGGAAGACAGCGTCCTGAGGTGAGTACAACATGGAGGGTCTTTATCATTAGGCATTCAAAGTGCTGTTTAACTAAAACTGCATTTAATTCAGTTACATGGTATAGCTTTATCTCCTGAAGTTTCTCTAATATTTCATCCAAATGTGTGTTTGTTTAAAACTAAATTAGGACAGTTTACCTGGAGATTTATTTTTGATACTATTCAACAATAGTCTTAAGAAATGTTTTTGTAATACACAGTTTTTATTTAGCAAGAAAATCAGTTATAAAAAGGACCAAGAAGTTACTAACGTACACTTCAAGATGTGCTTTTCTATGTACGTTTATTTTCCTCTAAAATGATACAACTCAAATCTTTTCTACAGGGGTTCGAGATGATTTCTTCATTATGGTTGTTGGGGGCCGTCTGCTGTCTGGTGCTCCCCGGTAAGAGCTGATTTTGTGTTGAACAACTGCTTAACCCTCTCTATTTCAGAATTTAGTTTTTGCACATGACGTAAATGTAAGCAATAAGAACCAACAAAAGCACTTGTAAACTAACCAACTCATTTAAATGGATAACATTCTGAAAAAAAATGTCCTAACTGAAGATGGTTGAAGTGGTAAAAGAAACTATGAATTCATAATTGAATGGCAGTTTTTTTAATGCAAGCCTTTTTGTCCTCTATGGAAATCTGAGCAACCTTTAACAAGGGTTAGGAAAATGTATTAAAAGCATGATAACTGAAATCAAACCAATGATCTGTCTCCTCTTCCAGGCCTGCTGGAGGCCAAATCTTTGTTAAACGACATGCAGCAGGAGGGTAAGCAGATCCTAAATCATTTCAAATAAACCTGTTAAGAAATATCTTGTTTTCTAAGTGACTTGATCTCATCTGTTTACAGAGATGGTACCAGTCGGTAACGTAGGTATCGACTCACAGAGAGCAAACAGCTTCCTGAGTAACTCCAGGCCGAAGCGTAACGCGGACCCTCGGTGGTACAGAGGGAACCCAGACTTCCAGTCCTACTACCGCTACTACAGCAGCATCGGACACACTGAGGGGGTGAGCACATGAAAGACACGAGGCTTTGTGATTGGATACTGTTCACTAGTTCTGGGAGAGTTTAGTGAGAATGAAATGTCTTACTCTGGTACAATGACTTGGAGGGTAATTATAAAAGCAGAAATGTATCCTAAAACAGAATCCACTGGTGTACTTCCAGTGATTCTGGACAGTCAATATCTACAGACAGTCCACTGGGTCCCTAAAGTGTTAAATGAAAGAATCAAATATATTGTATGCAACATACATCAAATCAAAACATGAAATATTAAAACAATCTAATGTTTGCTTTGGAATACTACAAATTCATATATGAAGCATACAATGTAAAATATAACATTAATTATATTTTACACATGTATTCATCCAAATTAAAGGCTTCTATGACAGCTGCTGTATCATGTTTTAGTAACATTGGGATTGTCTTCCCTTTAATCTTGTATTTAAAGGGGTTAATATGATATTGATATGTATATTATTAAGTGCTTCAACCTCACAACTTCTTATTTGGTCACCTACTTTTCTTTGTACTCATACTTTAATTTATTTTACTAATGTGTGCTTGGCACTTTTTTCTATGTTAGTCACTTATTTGTTACAATGTAAATGTCTCCGCTGCAGGACAAGTGAAGGAGTTGTGATTTCTAACTTTATTTCTCCCTCTCAGATCTATGAGATCGACAAGCTGCGGATGCTGTACCAGCAGATGAGGGCCCTGGAGCACACCTACGGCCCCGACGCCTCGTACTACCAGAACAAGCTGGGGATCCCGATGGCTATTCCTCCTCCCCCTCCCATGAAAGGAAAGCCCACAGCTCCCCCCGCCCTCCCCCCGGCTCCTGTCATCTCCCAGGCCGACGTCCTGTACCTGTGCAACAAGAAGGACCCCCTCTGCAAGCCCCACATCGTCTACATGCCCACCGGCTCTGTGCCCGTGCTCTGCGACCCCCGCTACCACCCCCACTGCACCCCCCAGAAAGCTCCAGCTCTAGTGGCAGCACTCCACCCTCCTCCTCCCCCTCCTCCACCACAGAAGTCCGCCCCGGCCCCCCCTCCTCCTCCCCCACCTCCAATCCTCGTCAAGAAGACCTTTGCGGTCCCCATTCGCTCCTTCAAGGGCATGGAGTACGACTGTGACCCCTACTGGGACCCCGACTGCCTGATTGACCACCCCCCCCGGCCCATCAAGGGGAAGACTATTGTGGTCCAGCCTCCACCCCCCCCTGTGGTGGAGGAGAAGGAAGAGGAAGCAGTGCCTGAGATCCCTCCTCCTGCTCCCAAAGAGAAGAAAGGACCCATCTTCCCTTACTTCTTCCCCAAGGCCTACAACCCCATGGATGATCTGTACGACCCGATGCGGTTCCAGTACCCGCAGCCCGTTGCCGCCGCCGACGAGCCCGCAGAGTCCGGCCACAGCCAGTGAAACCCCCCCCCCCCCAGATGTGTGGGAGGCGAGGAGTTTGTAATATTACATCAAACAGACATTGATTGGAATTGAACATTTTCATATTTTGAGGGATTTTAACATCTTGCAAATGTACCATCACTACACAACCTTTACTAAAGCATTCAAAAGTTGCAGTATTTGTTTATTAAATTGAACTGTTAATGTGTTTACTACAGTTTGCAGTCAACACAAGTATGTATTGTTTATGATATCGGACTGATGAGATAATAAAGTGTCACAAAAACAGTTTTTCAGCTTTGATTGAGTAGCATTTTAGCTTTGAGTACACTGGAAAGGAAAGAAAATGTTTGTCCGGGTTCCCAAACTTTCCTAATTCCCTCAAGGACTCAACAGGTGATTTAGCCTAATGATACAGCACTGAGCATTTCATGCTAAACAATACACTGTTAAGTTGAAAAATAGAGACTTATTTAGGTGCTGAAGATCTAAGTCAAAACATGTCTAGTCTAGCACAGAGTATAACAGTTCAAGACTTCCTTAAAACATGTCTCTAGTTCACAGACAAGTATATAAAGAAGCTGTGGGAGCCATGTTGGATGCACTTTTGAAAAAGGTGCAGGAAGACAGAAAGAAAAGAGTGCCACATGGCAGGTAGAGCAGACTAGTAACGGTGCCAGCCTGCAGGATGGGGGGTCAACATTATGTCTGGTTCCGCTGTACATTTAATACCCATAAAAACGACTCTGGAGCTATAACTCCCCCGGCCCCCTTTCTCCTGCTGCGTGTCTGTGTTTAATCCTCTGAAGGCAATCGAACAGCAGGAACACAACTTCAAAAGCTGCGCAAACTGCAAACACTGACAGTAAACCTGCAGCTGCACATATAGTAGAGGACCTGGGTTAGATATGTATGCACTTAATTTAGGAGAGAATATCTCAACTGTTGTAGACTAATATGACCCCACCAGGGCCGGACTGGGACAATAAGTCAGGCCGGGAATTATACACCCAGCCTGGCCACTACCAGTTTTTTGTGCCATTTTGCTGGATTTATTTGTCAATTTTTACAGCGTTGCTGCCCGTAGTGATAGCCCTCTAAATCTACTACTCAAAAATAAACATATGGACATGGGTTACTATTTAAAAAAAATTGCAAATCTATTTAGGAACCTATGTGAACATATTTTAAGTGGGGGTGGACCTCAAATCCTATAGGGGGGTCCAGGGGCATGCCCCCCCCGGTAAGATTTTTTTTTTATCTCAACAAGTTTTAATAGTTTATCTTGCCTTTTTTCACCTAGTTAACGTTTTTTTTTTTATTATTCATGCATATTTTACTAATCACTCCCCCCTCAAATGGAAATATGTGTTACATAAATGGTGACCAAACCGTTTGAGACCCACAGAGATAACTTAGACTAAGTTAACTATCTAAACACTCAGAGTCCTTTACCTCACCTGAGCTGTAGTTATCAGTCTCTCAGTCTGACTGGAGAGGACTCTTCCTCCACCTTGTTGTTGAAAAAGCTCCTTATATCCGTTAGCGCAGCTAGCACCAGATGCTAACAACAACAATACACGTAACCGGTGCGCGTGCTTTATCTCATTCGCTCACGCCACACATACACTAACACACACCCTCCCGAGCTTGAATGACACACAGAGACCAATCGAGGGCATTAGTATGATCTGTATGAAAGTGGCCATGTGGGCAGGCCACATCATGTATACAGACAGTCACACTCTGTGACTGTGAGGCAGAGTCAGACCCACATTTGCGCAGCGTTGCGTTCACAATACATACATAAAAAAAAAAATCCTCAGGCCAGCAGGCCACTTAACAGGCCAGGCCATCGGGAAACCTCCCGGTCCTCCCGATGGCCAGTCCGGGCCTGGACCCCACTGAACAACTTGGGATGTGTGCCAAAATCTCTATTCGGGACGAAAAGCCCCAAAATTACCACGCCCTTTTTTAAATGACCACGCCCCTTTTTATCGGAAGTGCTACTTCCGATATAGCTGTATCTTCTAAACCGTTTGAGCTACAGATTTTCTGAGGTGCTCAAAATGTTCAGAATGGCCATATCTAGGGGGAGGGGGGTATTATAAATTTCTAATTTGATATTTTACGAGAACATTCGGTCCACTTATTACCATACAACTACCCAAGTACTGGAAATTGAGTTATCCTCTCATGAATTATGTGCATACATGCCTATCTTAACTTAGGTCTTCTACTAATTAATATAACCATTTAATTATAAACTAACAAGACTGCTTTTGAGGTCCTCAAAATGTTCATATTTTACTAGAAATGGCTAAAAACCGTTAATAGGTCAACTTACATACAACTACCTATACACACTGGAATGGCCATTATATTTATTAATTTAAACTTTCTGGACTTAGAGCAAAGTTAGAACATTTGTGTCATGTAGAGAGCTTAAATAAATTACCCAACAGCCAACAATACTTATTTAACACCACATTAGTACTGTTTATGTGTCACGTAAACCAGGGTGAGGAACATGAAGAGTAAGAAAACGGAGTCCAGGTCCCCGTATGAGGATGATGAGCAGTGCTCATTCAGTGATAGGGTTTTTACAACAATCACCTCCCTTGCATTTGCAGTACTTGCAACACTTGATCCCAGCTACCCTGCAGGGACACCCATTCTTGCGAGCACACTTGCCACATGTGCAGGGATCTGGCAGGCCTTCGGGCTTTGAGATCACAAACTCAGGGACTAATGAACTACCCAATCTTACAAAACCATAATTCTCGGCATTCATAATCGAGGTGGCGTCTCTAAATGGGGCTTGGACCCACAGCTGCTGTTGGTGATACCCTCTATGGATATGTTTTCTTGCATTAGTTGATGTGCAAGTGGTTCTGTCGAAGTCCATCTTGAGGGCATTGCTATCAAATGCAGCGAGTCGCAGGTCGTCAAATGTCTTCAGGTCTGTTGATGGTTTGAGACACTTGACCAAGAATGTCTCTGCCAGCTGTATTGCATTTTCTGTTAGCTGTGGACTGTCGAAATTCAGGATCAGAGAGGAATTTTCTGGTTTGCGGACAGCATTCAGGGCTGCAAGTTTAGTTGATATCTTGCTGGTTGTATCGCACCCAGTCAGCGCATGGAGTGCTGGGAGACACTTTGTGAGCTCGTCTCCCAGCGCTAAGCAGATATCGTGGAGTGGTAATATTGATCTTCTCACTCCTGAGTTGCGGACGAGCCAGAGCTCTTTGAGACCAAGATCTCTCCTGTCAGCTCCTGCGCCAGCTCAGTTGCAACCTGTTGGACAGGTGAAACTCGCAGGGACTCTACCAAGGCCTCTATAGAACTGTTGGTACAAAGTACCATCTGGGATATTCGTTTGTTACTTGGGTATGTAAAACAGACGGCGTCTCCATACATCTCGATGATCAGCTGCTTTACAGTTCTGTTTGACACTATTCCAGCTGAACCTTCATTTAGCCTGTCTCTGATGGAAGTCAGACTGTGTGCTGACCTACTAAAGTCAATCCCAAGGGCTACAAATCTAGCCTTGAAGGAGTTGTCTCCGGCTGTTACCGACTCCTCCATTTCGAGGTTTTTCAGTATTTCCTCAATTTTAGCATGATATTTATTGAAATAGACTTTACAACATTGGTCGTGATATCGGATATCAGCTGCAAAAACATCATCTAGCTTACACATTGCTGCTGTTTCAGTGTACATATGGTCCTTGAACAACATGGCCGCATTTAGTAGTTTTTGGGCCATGGGCCTTTCACAGATTCTGAACAATGTGTGTATTTTCTTCTGTTTAAATGTCCACAAAAGATACAGACATTTGTAGTTACACTGGACTTAAATCGCTTGCTGTGTCGCTCAGATGTATCATTAATAGGCCCCTACTGATATGGTTCTGATTGTTCTAGTGGTTGGGTTATGCTGTCAGTCTTAGCCATATCCCTTTGAAAACTTCTGTAGCAAGATGAGGTGTGGTATTTCATGATACCCTGCTCTTGCACAGTCAGTCGAAAAACCCTAGCAGCTCGAGTGTCATTACTCTCTGTTTGTTTGGCAAGCAAAACAATATAACCCCTGCCGATTTCACCACTAGAGAGGTACTCAGATCGGTTCTTCTTCTGGCATAGGATGCACTCCTCGAGATCGATCGGCTTAGGTGTAGCAGAAGGAGCAGCGAGCGGTACCACATCCTGAAAATAAAAGAAACATGTTTAAAATTATCGATGGCATGGGTTATCAGTATCACCATACAATATACTACTTGGCATACCCACAGAAAGAAGATGTAGGTAAATAAAAAAAATTAAAGCTTGTCTTACCATTTCGCTGTACTTCAGTGAGATATTATCTCTGTTAAACTGGATGGATAAGTCTTTCTCTCATACTCTCTCCAGCTTTTAGCACTGGTGCTATGAATAAACAAAAAGCAGTTAGTTTTATATAATTAAATGGTTATATTAATTAGTAGAAGACCTAAGTTAAGATAGGCATGTATGCACATAATTCATGAGAGGATAACTCAATTTCCAGTACTTGGGTAGTTGTATGGTAATAAGTGGACCGTAAAATATCAAATTAGAAATTTCTAAGTGTGTTAGTTAAGATGAAAAATTAAACAATTTGAGGTACAACGGTTATGTAAAAGGGCCTATCATTTGCAATGAGGGTAGATTACTTTTTTATATACTATACTATGACTTTTTTGTAACATATAATTTTCTTGGCATACTGCACTATTAGATTTCTCAAAGATACTATTACTTTTTGGTAAATACTATACTATGCCTTTGTTTTACATACGTTTTATGACTTTTTTGGACATACTGAAACTTAAGACTTTATTTTTGACATACTATACTTTTTGGGGATACAATATGCCTTATTTTTTCGACTTTTCACAGGGGGGGGGGGGGGGGGGTGGAGGCTGGACCACAATATGTTACATGTTATTTGTTAGTCGTATTTATCCAAAGCGACTTACTGTGGACAATCCCCACAGGAGCAATTTGGGGTGAAGTGTCTCAGGGACACAACGACATGCTGACTGCAGTGGGGCTCGAACTTGCTACCCCCTGATTCGAAGTCCAGCACTCTATCCACTGAGCCACAGCCGCCCCATGACAATAGTCTTCCCCTTGATGGGCCGGGGGGGGTGGTCAATCAGGCAGTCGGGGTCCCAGTAGGGGTCACAGTCGTACTCCATGCCCTTGAAGAAGCGGATGGGGACCACGAAGGTCTTCTTGACGAGGATTGGAGGTGGGGGAGGAGGAGGGGGGGCCAGGGCGGATTCTATTCCTTTTTTTCGACAAATTATACTATGACTTTTCTAGACACTCCTTACTATGACGTTTTGACATACCATAGTATGAAACTATATTCCCTTTCTGACTTTTTCCTACTTCGTTATGACTTTCTAAGGCATTAAATCAACAAAAATACTATGACTTTTTCCTCATTTTATGTTTTTTTTAAGGCATACTATTCCAAGACTTATCAAATAATTTTTTTACGACATCTTATAGCATAATATACTTGTTTTCAATGCTATTATACACCAGGGCATTTGTATGGCACACAATACTATAACATCCAATACAGGATTGGAACTGTTGATACAACATTTCTAAAAGGTTCAAAAGGTAAAAGTCAATTTATTTTAAATGCTGTATTTTGTTATAGAAATCAAGGCACTCAAATAAAAAGCAATGTTTTCCAGGTTTAAGCTTTGAAATAAGAGGAGTCAAAGTCCATGAAAAAAATCAGCAGATCATTTATTACAAACAGAAACATGAAACAATATAACAAACGGGTAATATATATAACGTTCATGTACAGTGAATTCATTCCTGTGCATAACCAAGATAGACTTGAGCCATTCTCTCTTACTGATCGGTGTAATTAGGTGCTTTTCATTACACTTGTGGTTGAAAATGAGAAACAGGTTTGAGAAGATCCTGTAGAATTTGTTTTAGCTAACCAAAAATGAAACAAACCAAAAAGAAACTGCAGCGCATGTCTCCGCCTCGTTTCGCTGTCAGCTCAAAAGAAGAGTCCTCTCATCCTGCGGCCGATGCCCTGTCTGTCGTACAGGACGTTGAACTTGTTGATGAACTGGTTCATGCTGTTGCAGGTCTTAGTGATGGTGCCTAAGTAGGCCATGAGACCCACGTCATTACATTGCTGCAGGGGGAGAAGAAAGGCAGCGTTATACAAAGCAAAGCAATCAAACACAATGTAATTCATGGTTATACGTTTCTGTCTTAAGTGGACATTGTATTTTGTGAATATAAATATAGCATTGGAAAATATACAGTAACCCAAAATGAAGTGTTCATCTTTAGGATTACTGGGAAAAAAAAATCTGCATTGTTCAAATGTTTTTTCTCCTACATTTAACATCAATTTTGTTTTTTCCAATGTCAACAAATCAGATGCAAAGACCAAAAGCAACATTTGATTCATCCTGATTCCAAAAACAATTAAAGACACACCGAAAACGTCATTATAGTGCTGCATAACATGTTTCTGCATTATGATTAACAAGGATCTATAAAATCAATAAACAAGTAGCTTAAAATAGTAACCCAAAAATGCATTATTTACTTCTATCCGAGTAACGTTAGTTAAAAGATATCACATTATTTGTTGGAATTAGCCGTTATATGGGATTTGTTCCTCGAGGAAAACATAGACTCATCATGTCAGCCATATCTTTTGACTTTCCGATGAAACAAATCTCCATGCATTAGGGGGGATAACCACTTCTTATATGTGAAGGTACAAAAAGCTTGCTTACATCATAGAAGTCTGTTTTGAATTTGATGGTGCTGAGGACCGGCAATCTGTGGCAGAGGGCGTTCGCTTCTCGGAGGATCTCGTGATTAAATGGCACCTCTCCTGCAGAGAATAAAGACAGAGGGGAAATATTAAAAAACATGTTCAGCTCAGTATACTAAAACAAAGAGGTAAGACTATGTGGTCAAAACAGTATCTTACAGAGGCTTGTAATTAAGGAGGTGTGTTCGAGGGGCCTGGAAACATCTTATCTATGAACAGCTGTTTTCCAGACTTATTTCCACATTCTTCGCTCTAACTGCCTCATTAAAAAGGGCTGTCGTCTCTCACCTGATTCCACGGCTTTGACGTACTCTAGGATGATCCTCACCCGGCTGTGGAGCATCTTGATCGCACTGTGCTGGGCTATGAGGTGCTCAGCCACTAGAGGAGAAGAAACAGAGAGTCAGTTAACCTTCGATGCACGAGTGACTGGACCCTACACTCTTCCATAAGTGGGTCAAAAAGGACCCGTATTAGAATAATGTGTGTTTTTATGCAATTTTTGGTTAAGAAAAATCACTTGTATAATATTTAGTATTATATTTGGGTTCACACTAGAAATATTTTATATTTAATTTTTCACTATTTATAATTTTAGACATTTTTTTTACATTTTGAAAAAAAAACGAAATTCCATAGGAAATGCATGCGGGTCATTTTTGACCCACTTATGGAAGCTTGGGGTAGTAATACAAAAACTACAATTTCTTAAAATGTATAACATTTACATTTTGAATGGCATGATATCCAAAACATGTTTTTTGAGGAATAGCTGGAATATGAAATGATGGAAAAATGTAATTACAAAGATACTCTAAGAAAACCACCTCACCGGGTCAAAAAAGACCCACTTATGCATCTAAGGGTTAAAGACCTGTTCAGACAAGTCATTTTTGATGACAGCGTTTAATATCAGTGTGGTCACAGGACGGCAGGTTCCTTTGAAATGTCCATCACTATTATCAAAATCTAAATGATCGTTATTTTCGAGAAAGACTTCGGAAAAGGACTTTAGTTAACGAAGATGAAACAGTCACCGATTTAACCGTAATGCACGTAAACTTCTAGCTTATTTGTATTATTGCTTTCTCTTAACATTTCTTTAAAGTCCTTCATTTTATATTTAATGTATTTTTAGATTTATGACATTTAATATCTAATCATTAAGGCATCAGTACAATATTAATACATTTTCTTTAATTATTACAGTCTATTTATGAATGTGTATATGTGCAAATAAATAAATGATACTACTCACAAAGATACAGCACAAAGTAGTGACAATAGTGAACTAATGTTAAAAAGTTCAATAGTATCTTCAGAAGCTGCGAAAGTCACAGGATGTAAATGTATCATAGTCTGAGACAAGAGCTGTGATAATGGCTGTTAAATAAATAATGTGTCATAAAAGCAACCTTAAAAACAATGCTAAAGTGCAGATGGTTTACAGGTGACATGATATTGTTGAGTATATAAACTCACTCGCAGCGTTGAAGCTTCAAAAGGTAAGAACGTGTCCCAATAACTCGTACCTGTTGAGTTTTCTCCGGTGCCGGTGGCTGTCATTCGAGCTACGTGGTCGACACCGATTCTCTCCGCTTCCTCTGTGGCCAGAGTGTACGTCAGCTCAGCAAACAACATGGTAGCCTACGTTAAATAAAAAACATGTCAGATCAGACTTCTCTGTAGGAAACTAGGTCACTGCTTTTGAAAAGGATATTTAGACGGTATGAAATCAAAAGATTACCTCGCCGTTGATGATGTCAATCACAGACTCATAAACACTGACAGGAAGCTGAAGGAGAAAGAAAACCTTGTTAAAAGCAGCTCTATCTAATAAACAACTTATTTATGAGGGGAAATGCAGAGAAACTCACATCTGTGTGTTTGGTCAATGGGTTGAGCTTGAGGAAGAGAGGGCTCTCAATGATCTCACACACCTGGCAGCAACAGGGAAATAACAGTAAACAAAATGTAGAACACACAATCAGAAATAACAGAATTACAATTAGATCAGCGTTTCCGTCAGGGGGGCGTCTTGCCGCCATTATTCAGCTCGGAACGCCCTGAACTCGAGCCGAGGGCGTCCAAAAAATATTAATAATTCGAGAGAAGATCGATTTGGACGCGATGAGCACTGCGCCGGAGCCTCCCAGCGGCGAAACTGAGGCTCCGTGGTAAACTGTGGTAACATGAAGAGCCGTTTGGGAGCCGAAACAGCCGGCGCCTTAAGAGAGCCGAGCCAAACGATCCGGCTCACTAACGGAAAGAGACAGTATCTATAAGGGACGGCTCAATTCAAAATTCAAGCACCCCCCCCCCCCCCCCGCTCTCGACGCCGACGCCCTCTCAGCCCTGGTCTGGCGGAAACACTGAATTAGATATTTAATTTTGAGAGCAGAAGCCCAAAAAGGAATTTGTCAATATAGCCATTAACTTTGGATGAATCTTACATCAAATAGTATTTACTCTTGGACAGATGACTATGTATTACCAACAACAACATTGACTGTACATATCGCCACTTTTGCGTACCTGCTTGTGAATGTGGATGTCTGATGCGTCGGGGGGTCCGCCTGTGGTGTACCAGCCCAAAAACTCCATCTCTTTAAAGACCTGTTTGACTGAGAGACAAAATGAAATATAAAATAAGAACTACAGCAAGCACAAGAATTTCTGTAATAAGCACCGTAGACATTTTTCAATGAGTGAATATAATTTGCAGTCCTTTGATAAAGCTACTATGTACTACTAATATAGTATGCTTTTTTTAATGACATTTTTATGAGATCTTATGCCAAGACAAAAGACATGGCTTAAAATAATGAAAGGAGAATTTAAAAAAAAGAGTATAGTTTTTTTGTCATTCACAGACACAATCTACGTACATTGTTCCTCCTTGGTGTAGTAGTACTCCTTGTCAATGTGTACCCGATCATCTATGGTGACGGACAGCAACTCAAAGGAGTTCATCACCTCGATGTTTCTCCCCTCCTGCTTCCCGATCATGGCGCCAATAACTGAACAGGGAGTACAACATTAACTCGTGCATTAAATGACTGTTTACGTGCCATCTCTCTTCAATAGAGCTGTCTTACATACCCTGCATTGGACGTCCCTCTTGAGAGCGGATGCGTATCCAGTGGTCAGATATGTTGAGGATCACCAGAGGGTGTAAGGCAACAGACACGCTGCCGGTGACGCCTGCAGCCATAACACTGGGGCTGGCTACAGTCCAACAGAGACACAACAAGAGGAGCTTTAACATCTACAGATACTTCAGAAGAACAACACAAGCTAATTTACAACGTCACATTTTTCAGTCATTTACTGACAGCTTTAAGAGGATTGATCAGACAATCAGAAAACAAAACACATACATATATATCAGGACATACAGAAGCTGAAATAAATGAATATAATTTTTGAACTCCATTCATTGATGTGTGTTTGAATCCAATCAATTATAACAATAATTTATGTTGTAATGGTGTTTAGGCCAGTAATAGCTTAATACACATATATATATATATTACATTTCAACATTATAAGACTTTAAAAGTTTAAACCAGCAGAAAGCTAGGACTACTTAGACTTTAATAATTGTTGATTTATTGCGAGTTATTTTGTCAATGCAATATTCAATATTATCACATATTTTCATTGATTTGGGGGGAAATAAAGGACAATGAATAGGTCTTTAGACTGCATTACACGAATCATGTTCCTATTCTCAGATTTAGATCTTTAGTTTTTCTCATAATTGGTATATAGATTTATTTTATCATTTATTTGGAAAATGTTCCATAATTTGATCATTATGAATGTTTGTTCTATGTTTTCCCTGTCATGTTTTTATCTTTTTGAGTATTTATTGAACTGTACGGAGGCCTTAGGTATGGCGAAAGGCCCCCTCAAATAAAACGCTTTTTTAAATATTACTGTTCCAATCTCAAAATACTTACTATACATTTGATATTATCTTTTTTATATCTCTGAATGTTTGCACATGTACTTGTTGTTAATTTAAATGAGTATTAACACAATAATAAACTGTATGTATAGTCTTCTATGGTTCAATACAAACATGTGATATACATTTACTGAAAGCTAGAGATAGGCCCATTCATCACATGGACAGCGGAACAGCCTTAAATAGAGATTGGGTTGTTGTTATGACTAGTCACTCAGTATGTTTTCCATCAATCCTGCCTGAGCGGACTGACTTGTTTATATTCCTGACGCTAACTCGAGTAATAAAGCAAGAAAATATATCAAAAATACTGATTAAAACACCACAAAGTGATGCATTTGTTGACAGCTTTATAGCAGAGCCGTGTACGTTAGCCCGCTTATGTCAGCAAGCTAGCCAACTACCACCTTAAACATCACTAAATCAACACTTACACACACCCACAACACACATGTAGGACATATGCTATGGTGTTTGTGTTAATATCAGGCAGAAATGTTGCGATAAGTGAGAAATACTCGCCTGCCCCATCCACTTCCATTCCTCCACCATTGCTGGTCGCCATCTTGTCCGGTAATCCGCGCAGGCGCAGTGCGGTCTTCACCTCAACGACCGTTAGGTGGCAGTGTTGCAGGAAGTGTTCACATCGGTTTTTATTTTTTTACTTTATTTCTAGTACTTTCGCACTAGTACAACATTGAACTAAATGTACTTAGTTACTTTCCTCCACCGTATTTCTATCATTTAGTATATAAATCCTCCTTATCTATTCGTAAGTTTTGAACATGTATTTTATTATGTATTGTCTGCGAGATTGTGTCTTTTAAGTTATCAAAAAGATCATAATCTTGTAAAACAAGCTGTTCCACATAGTTACTGTCCTACATTACACAGTTGTACATAAATATAGGCTGATGTGATCTGAGACAAGCTGTGTTTCACATGAAGAAGTCCAAGATATTGCAGGCTAACTGCCGTTCGGTCCTTCCGCGGAGGGACATGTTTCCAGGGGACTAGCTGAGGTAGCACATCCTGTGTGCGCTGGGATACCAGTCCGTGTTCAAGGCTTTAATAGTTTTGTTTACAAAATGGATGAATATAAAGCCTGTAACCTGGACTATTTTCCGGAAAATATCTTAATTGATGTCTTGTCGTTTTTGAGCGTACGAGAGGTTGTCAGAGCCGGGAGGTAAGATACATTTAACTTTGCTGACATCTGTTTTAACCAGTTATTCGTCTTGTGAAAGAAAACTGTGTCTTTTGTTGTGACTCATTTATGTCACATGATGAAGTTATTTGTTGTTTTTTTACGGTGTTTCTTAGAGTGTGTAAGAGATGGAAACGTCTCGTTAAAGACCAAAGACTGTGGAGACTTGTGGATCTGACTACATGGAAAGGGGTAAGAGTGTTACCGGCGATGTGGCTTCACCTTTCATTTCATAGTGTGGTGTTACATTTATGTAGGGAACATAGCCATGTCATTAATGAAACAAACATGTAGTCATGAATGACGCCTCTTGTTTTATGGCAGCTTATCATATTCGAGTCTCTATTGTTTGTTTGTTCTCTTACGTATTTTTATTTTAAAGACCAATTTAAGCACGTATATTGCAAATTATCTTGGGCTGTGGTGTATGGCAGTGGTTCTTTCTACATACTTGTCACAATAGAAATACACATAAATAAACAAGTATAAGCAATCTTAGCAAGTGGCCTCTAAAAATGTACAATTTCTTATACATTATAATCACATGTACTGTACCTATAACACTTCACCAAATAGCGATGAAGAAAAGGCTCTACTCTCTGTCTTTGAAATCTAACAACCATGTCAAGAGACTTGGTGTTGTCATTGAGAAACGTATATTAAAGTGTTGAACGTCACATCAAATCAAAAACAACATCTGTAAAAAAGAAAAGAAAAGACAAAGAAGAAACAGCAACCTCTATCAGAGGCTTCGTGTCCGGACATGACTCAGAAATATGTGTTCACCTTTACTTTCTTAGGCCTCATTAGGTGATGCTAAAATAAAATAAAAATGTTCAGTTTTCTCTTGAAGACAATGCTGTTCATACAGGTTCTGTGTCTGTGCAATATTGACTGAAACTGTCTCTTTTGCCTCCCTTCCCCCCCCACTCAACACATACATGGACTGTCCATTGTGTGTTAGGTAACATCCCGCATACTCTGGCTCCTGCTGCGTCAGTACCTGGGTTGTGGTCTACGGTGCCTGCGGTTGCGTGGTTTGCTACTTTCTGCCCGAGGAGGAACCTTTCTGTCTGAGTCTTGGCTAAAAGCTTTGTCCACAAAGTGCCCTCGTCTGAGTAAGCTCTATCTTCTGCACGCAGACCTGCGAGGCCTCCCCAGTTGCCAGCTCCTCCCTCCATCTTTGCAGATCCTGGAGCTGCGTGGCTGTGAGCTGCCGCGAGAATTTTTCAACCAGACTTCCCCTGCTAGTTCCCAAGAAACACCAGAAGCCACGTCCAGTGTTGGTGCTCAACAGAAAATAAGGGATCAGAAAGGAAAAGGGCAAGCCTCTCCATCAGGGATTGGCATTGATACGTTAGTCCTCAACAACGTGCCCTCTTTCACAGACCAGCATCTGCAGAGTCTGACAACATGGGAGAGGCTCAGGCGCTTGGAGCTGCGCGACACCTTTCGTGTAACAGCAAACGGGCTCAGGAGCAGTGCTGCCAAGGAGGGCGTCTGTGGTGTGGAAGGGCTCTCCAGACTCAAGTTTCTGGAAATAGGCATCACTGGGCGGCAAGGCTACCAGTTACAGATGGCCTCCCTCGGTCTGGGGGCAGGATGGCTGGGCCTGGAGGAGCTGAGTCTAGGGGGTAAGGAGGTGGGGCCGGGCCTGCTCTGCGCCAGCCGTCTGAAGGACCTGAAGTGTCTGTGCCTGTGGGCCTGCACGCTCAGCAAGATGCAGATAGTGCGGAGCTGCAGGATGCTCCGTGGACTCCGCCAGCTGGAGTTTTTGGACGTGATCTTCCAGCCTCCACAGTGTCCACCTGTAGTGGAGGGAGAGGGTGGTGGTGGAGCAGGAGAAGAGCAGGACAATGATGAAGCAGCAGGTGGAGATAACAGTAATGATGAGAACAGGACACTAGATGCAAACGATCCCATACCCAGTTTGCGTCGCTCACTGGCTGCCCTGCTGCCATCATGCACTGTAGTTTTCACCAACTGCTCTGTTCAGATTAATCCAGACTAAATCTCTACTACTACTACTTCATTATACAGGCAGTAGCAAATAGAGATACAGTTCCCTTTCACAAAAGCACATGTCATTTTATGTAGCGTTATAAATACAACAAACAACTTCAGTTTTTATTATTGTGTCATGCGTATACAGTATGTATGATACAGGTTCCAGATATCGGAATCAGATCTTTTAATTTATACATTTTAAAAAGCATCGCTGTCAAAACATTTACTGTATAATACTGATGAAATTGTAGTAAACTATACTGAAAAAAGTCCACCAACTGGCCTACTTGTCCAGGCTTTTAAGACTGTTTTGCCACCTTTTAATAATCTGTCAACCTCAAAAGCCAGAGGAGTGAAATCTGATTTCAAGATTGCAAATAAAAAATTGTTGGCTTCTTTGTAAGCAAAATGTTTAATATGATTCAGGGACATAATTTGTTTAACATCCATACATATCTATTTGTTTTTAACAGAATATTTTCCAAACATTGTTCTTCAAACTTGAATAAAAGCTTGCTTTTTTTTTTTAATGGTGCTATATATTGTGAAGTACGTTATAAAAACCGTTATGGAAAAATTATGAAACTGTCACAGCTAGAGGGTGAAGCCACAAGCAGGCGTATAACAGGAGCGTACCGCTGGCACCTGTTTCCTGTTCCTTCGCTTCACAATGTATACAATCAGAAAAAACATCAACATCTGATACAAGCAGGCGTTTGGTTTTGGTTTGACAGCAAAACAGCAAGGGATATTTAAATGAGTCTTTAACAAGTCCCAATTCTGTTTCACTTTTATTTGTAGAAATAAGAAATGGTAATTGTTAATGTCTGTTTGATGTGTTATTGAAAACCATTAATGTATTATTGGGAAAGCCATTGCCTATACAATAGTGGAAAACATGGAAGATGTATGTCTTTGAAATGAATTGTGATGCATTGGTACCAACCATTTTCACTTTAACACTGTAGAATACATATTAGAAATTGTTCAGAATAAAACTATTTTGAACAAATACATATTTTGTATCATTTGTCTTTTTTTTCTTCTAATTGCACCACATACTAAAAACTCCATAAAAGATCTAAGTTTTGATTGATAGACTGACATTTATGCATATTAGAAAAAAAAACGTGTAATGTGATTATCAAATATATTGATATATTAAACATTTATTCAGTTGTATTTAATATGAATATGATTAGGTTAGGTTCATGTGGCCAGGCCATAAACTGTTTATATAAGGTGCCAAGCTTATGAAGAAAACAAAAGTAATGTACCGAGAAGATAGGACACTCTAAAGATAGGTGGGGAACTATCGGGAACTATACATCCATCCATGGAACTAGTAGGGCGGGTCGACGTTTTACTTACGTCAGTGTAAACCAATCACATGCAACAAATCCGGCCAATCAGGTGCGTGCAAGACAGTTTTAAAACGTTGGCGGCTGAGGGAGTTCAAAATAGTAACTCCGGGATTTCCTTACTAAAACGTTTATACGTTCATCCTTATCTACAATGCAGGTAAATCTATTTAAAAAAAATCTTTGATAGAGAAATAAAACCGTGTACTAGATTAGGCTAACAAAAGATTCGCAATACGCGCCAATTCTGAATGGTGTAAAAGGGAACAGGGTGTTTGCTAAATAGTTAGAAGTTAGCTTAAGCTAATTTAGCATTAAACCACATATTCTGTTAAACGCCGTATATAGCGAACGTAGATATTATTTACAATAGCAACTGTGGTTTAATCCAAATTAACCGGATTAGTAGGTTACATAGTCCCTGCATTACACCCAACCTCAGACCAGGGAGCCAACGTTAGCGTATCGTAGCCTAACAATGGCCTACTGGACCTTTCTCATTTTGAAAAAAACAAACTTCTACGTTATAATTTAAACGTAGCCTACATACGGAATCCACAGGAAACACCTGTAGCTATTTAAATAATGCATGCAGTGACTAGGAATATGGCAATCGTCTGGCGTTAGAATACATTTGACAACAAATCCGCCTTTGTTATCCTTATACAACGTAGTAAAACCGTGCATCAATATCAAACGGCAGATATTCTCCAACGTGTTGCTGAAAATGTACACTATAATACAAAAAACACACATTCCACTGCAGTAGTACAGATTGTCTGACTCTGAACTGTATATCCAACTGTACAGTGTACACATCTTTTAATTTGAGCACAAAATAGTTTGTGATCAAATAAGGTTCACTATTAAGTACGACGTGGGCAAATAGTTAAAAACGGACATTTAAAAATTAAATTGCACCGTTAAAAATAATCTGTTTCCAATTCGGAGTCTTGCAGCATATAGGTTTGAACTTTCACCTCAGTTTAGAGTCTGAATGACAAGAACATATGCATTAAGTTCAATTGTATGGTACATTAATGTGATTGCTGTATTTATTTCTTTACAGAATAAGGAAAATGATGAGCCCAGGGGTTTCACACGACCGGTAAGATGTCAAACAAAAATATATACATATATATTTCCAGCTGGGATCAAGCAATATTTAATAAATTGAACTACAACTGACCATTTATCATGCCAATATTGGTATCAAAATAGATCAGAAACTATTATTGGCTGGAACAACATTTTAACAATGGGTTTCTTATTATTTGTGTTTGCTTCTGTTTAACAGTTCGCACCCCCAAGCATGGTGGCAGGCCCACAGCGCATTCAGGTGAAACCACGAGCAGAGATGGACAAAAATGCCATCACAGGTAACATTACCCGCCTCTTCTATAAATAACATTCAAAAACCATAAGACATTTTCCAGTTTTAATTGTATTATCATTTCAGGCCCAGGGCGACAGTGTGTTGGCTCATCCTCCAGTGCAGTCGCAAAGTACGTATAACCCTTAAAAACATCACGGTTTTGTTGCCAGTTGTGTTTTTTGTAATGCTTTCCCAAATCAAAGTGGTTAAAATGAGTATAAATATCCATCTTTTTACTTTCATAAGGAAAATGTCCATCAATGACTTTGACATCGGTCGACCTCTGGGGAAAGGCAAATTTGGAAATGTCTACCTTGCGAGGGTGAAGTCGTTGCAGGCCGTCGTGGCACTGAAGGTGTTGTTCAAGTCACAGATGGAGAAGGAAGGCGTGGAGCATCAACTCAGGAGGGAGATTGAGATCCAGTCACATCTTAAGTGAGTATCCTAAAAAACATTTTGATAAATGACAAGGAATTACGCCTCTCAGTATAACTTCCTTGTAGGTTATTTGCTACTATCTACCAATGGTTACAGGAACATCACAAAATGCTCAGGAAATTATTTGTAGGTTAGATGTGCTTAAAGCTTTGTGATTGCTAATAAAGTGGATTATAGTGTCACATTTTTCATTTAATTTCAAACCTTTATTTACCCAGGTATATCCATTGAGATCATTGATCTCTTTTTCAAGGGAGACCTGCTCAAGTAGGTTCCACATGAAACATAAACCGAACAACAAAAAGGACATCATACAGTATCATTACAGGGTTTACAATTTACAATAACTATCCACATGAGCAGGTACCAACAGCTTCCGATTGAGTAGCATCCAACCGAGCTTTAAAAACATTTAGTGGCACCAGATTGCTCAGTTCCCATTTAATTTGCAGACTATTCCAAGACAGAGGAGCTGCGCATGTAAAAGCTATCTTCCCTAAGACAGTCCTAGCAGTTGGCACATTTAATAAACCACAGCATTCGATCTCAGGCAGTAGCCACTTACAATTCGCCGTGAGATCAGGGAGCAGATGTAGGATGGAAGTTTCCCTAACATGGCTTTATATATAAAAATTTACCAGTGACTGAGCCTCCGTACAGTTAGTGAAAGCAAACCAGCCCTTGCATACAGTGATGGGTTAATGCTTTACAGTTTGTCACAAATCTCAGTGCACTGTGATACGCAGCATCTAACTTGACCAGGCAATTGGCAGGTGCATTCATATATAACAAATCACCATATTCCAGCACAGGTAAAAAGGTCACAGTGACTAGCCTTTTCCTGGCCTCAAGCGAGAAACAGGACTTGTTTCTGAAAAAGAAACCTAGCCTAACCCTCAGCTTTTTCAGCAGGTTATTGACATGAAGTTTAAAAGTAAGACGATCATCAAGCCAGATACCAAGGTATTTGTAACAGGTAACCACTTCAAGTTTTATTCCTTGCGTAGTTACAATATCTAAAACAGGCTCTGGTGTCTTTTTAGCTTTAGAAAAGAGCATTACCTTGGTTTTATCAACATTTTAAAAGAAGCTTTAGTTCAGAGAGCTGAGTCTGAATAATGTTAAAAACTGCTTGCAATTCAACAACAGCCTCATAACATAAAATAAAACAGGATGTTTGTATCTTCTACCACAAACATGCTGACCTGAAATGTATTAATTTGTTTTCAAAACAAAGACTAACAGTTTCCTCAAAACACCCTCTGTTTTCTCCTCAGGCACCCCAACATTTTGCGCTTCTACAATTATTTCTATGATCAGACCAGGGTGTTCTTGGTGCTTGAGTATGCCCCACGTGGTGAAATGTACAAGGAGCTACAGAGATGTGGAAAATTTGATGACCAGCGCACTGCAACAGTAAGACATGATGTTGCTTCTTAAAGGCATTTTATTTGCGCTGTTATTGTTTAGTCAGTGAACCTAGTTTTGGAATTCTTAATTCCTTCAATCCTTGCTGTGCCCTGTGTTCAAAGAGAAGTTTGACTGATCTACAATTTAGTTTTTGTTATCTTGAAAAATAAGTATTCTTTAAAGTCTTGTCTATTAAGTTAACCTCTTTACATTTTTAGTACATGGAGGAGATATCGGACGCACTGTTGTATTGCCATGAAAGGAAAGTGATTCATCGTGATATCAAGCCAGAGAATCTGCTTCTGGGCTTTCGTGGAGAGCTGAAAATTGCCGATTTTGGATGGTCCGTCCATGCACCTTCTCTAAGGTGAGGATCCAGTATAAAGTTCTACTGTGTTTTATCAGAGCTGTCTCAATACTGATGAGTCACACGATGCTTGTTGCTGTTTTTCTTAGCTCACTTCTTGTTTTAAAATCCCTCCAGGCGTCGTACAATGTGCGGGACTCTGGACTACCTCCCTCCAGAGATGATTGAGGGTCACACTCACAGTGAGAAGGTGGACCTGTGGTGCGTCGGGGTCCTCTGCTACGAATGCTTGGTCGGGAACCCACCTTTTGAAACTGAGAGCCATTCAGAAACATACAAAAGAATTAAGAAGGTTGGTGTTGGACAAATATGAATGTTGAGTAATCTTTTCTATAGGAACGTTTGAGAGAAACATCTGGCAGAAAGGTATTTAACCATTTGTAAATTAACTTTAAGATTGTCCCTCTATATCGGGGGGTCAAACTCAAATACACAGTGGGCCAACATTTAAAAATGGGTACTAGTCGAGGGCCGAACTTGGTTCAATGTTTATTGCAAAACTTATTGAAATGACTTATTGCACATATTAAACCTGGAACTAACAAAGCTTAAATTATTGCCTATAAAAACAACATTAAACATTAAATACTCAGTTGCATTAATTTCTTATGGCTCTATCTGCAGCTTTTTCGGAGTCATTTCTTATGATTACATTTTTCCACAGGCCAACAACAGCTTCAAAAAAACGATTTCCCTCAAAGAAAAAACTAGGGATACTCCGATCGAGATCGGCCGATACTCACTCTCTAAACATGCCGATCGCATGACGTAAAATACGTGACACTTTTCTCTGTGTGCGGCAAAACAAGCTCGCCAAAATGGCTTCACCGGTCTGGCAGTATTTTAAGGTGTCCGAAAAAGACAGTAAAATAGCGGAATGCAACGTGTGTGTGTGAAGCAGAAATCCTGCAGCTCCGCCCGCCGGACCGGTGAGCGGAGCGAAACACACAAGAGTTGAACCTAACACACTTAGCTATTTGAACTAGCTAAACTAGTTATACATATATTTATTCTTAACTGTCGGGTCACTCATTACTGGATCAGTGAGCTGCATGAGACGATACTGACGGGCTTTCAGGAGAGGAAAAGAGAGCGCTTCCGCTCATTTCTCCCGTGTTATTATCCAAAGTGAATGTAAACTTGAATAATGTACATCATTTAAATGTAATAATTATGTTGGTGGTTGTTTCTGGAAGCTCCAGTGAATGAATCTTTAAATAGAAGATTTAAAGTGATGTTTAAATCTTCTATTTAGGCCCCGCCCACCAACCAAACATGCCCTGTTGTCACAAGAAAAAAAGTGCAGAAGGAAACATCCATTGAAACTCAGTTTGCTGCTCTGTGATGCTAGTTCAAGCAGATACTTGGCATCTCATCTTGGGTGCAAGTTCATCAATGTTTGGGCTCAGGCTCTGAGCGGAGGAAATCCTCAGGGTTGAGTGAAGGTGTGCGTGCAATATACCAGCGGGCCAGATCTAATAGTAATTAAAATGATCCTGCGGCCCAAATTAAATCCACCAAGGGCCTGATATAATTGTTTTGGGGGAAACTGTCCCTTGACTGATTTGAATTAAAGTCCAAGGTTATTTTATACCAGTCATTGTTCAGATTTCATTAATAGATGATATCCTACTGTTTGCAGGTGGATTTGAAGGTCCCCAAAAACATCTCAGACGGTGCACGGGACCTGATCTCCAAGCTGCTTCGCCACAACCCCGCCGATCGTTTCCCACTACAGAGTGTCATTGATCACACATGGGTGCGTGCCAACTCTCGCAGAGTCCTACCGCCCGTCTGCCCTGGGGACCAATCCTGAGCCCGCTTGCCTGCCTCCCACTGAGGGGTGTTTTATCTGTCCTCCACAAGAGACTGGGCCTTTAGGTGTCAATGGCATGGACTTCAAACTGCCATCATATCAGCACATTGTATGATTGGTATTGGGATGGTTTACCCACTTTTTTTTCTTGTACAGTGTGATGTCCTTATCTATGTTTATCTAGAGGTGTTTTTATGGTCTTTTCCTTCTTGAACCTTTGTTTTCTTTATTTTAAATGTACACGGTTCTATTTTGACTTTCTGTATCAGTGTTGAAAGTACTACTGTTGGACTGATTGAAGCTGACTTTTCTCAATAGTTTGAGGGTTGTGCTGGATGGCATGTTTTATTTCCCCTCAAGCTATGCTTTTAAATTCTAATAAATATTCTAAAACAATGGGTTGACATTTAAGTAATTGATCTAAATGTTTTTGTCATTCTGCCAATCCCAACAGTTGGTCATAACAAATGTTATATTCTGCTTTTTAAACAGTTTTACAAAGTTGTTCATCCAACTAATTTTGGAAGCATTTTTTATTTTGTATCAACCTTATTTACATATATGAAGCAAAAAGAGTTTAGTTAAAAACAAAACTGACCATTGGTTGATGTATGAATTACTGCTGTAACAGGTTTTTCTAGTTCAACCTACCAAAACAGAACTTGGTGTAAGAGATTTGCTGAGATTCTGGCCCATTATAAGCCTATCCTGAAAAGCATTTTCATAAAGCTCCAAGAGTAAAACCTCTCGGTATAACTTCCTTGTAGGTAATTTGCTACCATCTACTGACTGTTACGGGAACACACAAATGCTCACAGAATATGTGTATGCAGGTGAGATTTCCTTAAAAATAGATAAGACGGAAGAATTGTCCCAATTGTGAAAAGTAATTCATAACATTTAAATCATTGTTACGTAATTGCAACAAAATCTGATCATGTGGCATTTTTTTCAGATTCGCACTTGATCACATGGCCGCACGGTAGCGTGGCCGAGCGGTCTAATAATAATAGATTTAATTTGTTAGCGCTTTTACAGGTGCTCAAAGACGCTTTACAGATATAGAGAAAAGGAAGGAACAACAAATAAATACATAGTTAAAGTCATAATACAAAAACAATCACACATTAAAAGCCAGATTGAAGCGGTGAGTTTTTTGAAGGTGGTGAGGTCAGTGCAGTCTCTGATGGGTTGTGGGAGTGAGTTCCAGAGGGAGGGGGCAGCGACGGAGAAGGCTCTGTCCCCCCAGGTCCGGTGATTGGTGCGGGTGGGGATTGATAGGAGGTTGGCTTCTGATGAGCGGAGGCAGTGGGAAGGGGTGTGGTGGTGCAGCAGGTATGTGAGGTAGGGGGGTGGGCTGATTGTTGAGGGCTTTGTGAGTAATGAGGAGGACTTTGAAGTTGATTCTTTGATTCCACTGACGCCAGTGGAGGTTCTGGAGGACGGGAGTGATGTGGTCTCGGGAGCGGGTGAGGAGGCGGGCAGCAGAGTTCTGGATATGTTGGAGTTTATTGAGGAGGTTGGATGGTATGCCGTAGTAGAGGATGCTATTGCAGTCGAGTCGTGAAGTGATGAATGCATGAATCAGGGTTTCAGCAGCAGAGGAGGGGAGTGATGGGCGGAGACGGCCAATGTTTTTGAGGTGGAAAAAGGCGGTGATGTGATTGATGTGGTTGTTGAATTTGAGCTGACTGTCGAAGATGACTCCGAGGTTGCGGATGTGAGGGGGGGAGAGAGAGTGTGGCTGTCAATGGTGAAGTTGAAATTCTGGATGTCTTTGATACGGGATGGGGGGCCGATGATGATGTCTGATTTGGCACTGTTCAGTTGGAGATAGTTTGTTTGCATCCATGCTTTTATTTCTGAGAGACAGTTGGTGAGAGTGGAGTGTGTTGTGGGGGTGATGGCTTTTGTTGAGATATAAAGTTGGATGTCATCGGCGTAGCAGTGAAATTGAAGGTTGTGGCGACGAATGATTTTGCCAAGGGGGAGCATGTAGAGGATGAAGAGGAGGGGGCCAAGCACCGAACCCTGGGGGACGCCTTGGGACAGAGGAGCAGTGGAGGAGGTGCAGTTGTTGATGTTGATAAACTGATGTCTGTCGGTGAGGTAGGATTTCAGCCAGGAGAGTGCAGTGTCGGTGATGTTGAGGGATGATTCGAGGAGGGACAGCAGGATGGCGTGGTTGATGGTGTCGAATGCTGCGGTGAGGTCGAGGAGGATGAGGATGTTCAGATTGCCGGAGTCAGAGGAGAGGAGGAGGTAATTTGTGATTTTGAGAAGAGCTGTTTCGGTGCTGTGTTTTGATCGGAAACTGGATTGAAATGGCTCAAAGAGGTCATTGGAGCTGAGGTGGGATTTTAGTTGTGAAGCAATGACACGTTCAAGTATTTTTGACAGAAAGGGGAGATTTGAGATGGGCCGGAAGTTGGACATGATGTCAGGTGTGAGTCCAGGTCTTTTGAGAATGGGTGTGACAGCAGCCAGTTTGAGAGAGGGGGGAACTGATCCAGATCTGAGGGAGGAGTTAATGATGGTGGTGATGAGTTGGGAGATGGCAGGGAGGCTCTCTTTAACAATTTGGAGGGCATTGGGTCAAGTGTGCAGGTGGAGTTAATTCCAGTATACTTTTTTTTAAATTTTATTTTATTTTTTAAAATGGTGCTATATATTGTGAAGTACGTTATAAAAACTGTTATGGAAAACCAAATGAGAAGCTCTTGATGTATGAAATAAGAAGACTGTCTTCAAGGTTATTCATATGTACTAGAGATGTTAAGATTCACCGATTCGCATCGGTGCACCGGCATAAACGTTCAAGATGCGAGTGCACCGGTTGAAAGAGTGCACATCGGCTACAGTTTGGGTTGAACCGGGTTGAACTCGCGATGCATCGATTGCGTAGCGTCTTTGCATCGGTAAAAAACCGATTCATTCATATAAAATCCCCTCATCTTGTCAACGCTCAGCAGAGACGATCTTTGATATTTGCTTTGCCATTACGGAGGCCGAGAGTCTCAGTTATCAACACACACGGAAGTTGAGGAGAAAGAGAAACACAGCGCACCGAAAAATACCTACAAATCAAACGTTTGGCAACACTTCGGATTGTTCAAGAAAGACGGTGTAATAGTCCTTTATGCTATATAGTTGACCGCAGGTCATGGAGAGTAATAAGGTATCCGTAGACCTTTGTATGAGGTATCTTTATTACTTAACAGGTCTACAGCCATGATACATAGATCCGTCCTAGATGCGGGCTTGCATACACACAGTATCACTCCGCAGCCGCACCCCATCAGTAACGTCCTGATGGTATATGTGTGCGGCACTATATACTACAGACGGTCAACTTGAAAAATCGCTCGCAAATTGTTAACGATGCCGAGCCGCTTTAAAGTACACAAGTAGTACGAGGAACTTAGCGACGCACATAAAGAGGCGACATGGGGTCTGCGGCTGAAAAGATAAACCTGAAAGTTAGACATACGAGTTAAATCACTCAGTGAGGTGTTCTGTCAGAGAGAGTGGTGTTTAGTTTACAGCAGCCTGTGACGGCCAATAATAATGTAAATGTCTTCCTTACTGTAAGCAATACCTGTTTGTGAAAGGTTATTTGTGTTCTTTATTGTTCATATAGAACCCACTGCTTTCTGCTCACTGGTGAGTTAGCCTATGAATGAGTGTTAAGCACATCAGGATGGCAGCTGTATGGGCATTGCACTATGGTAGCTGTTATTTTCACATTGTTAATGTGAGCAATGCATCCTTACATTGTTGGATGTGGACTGTGAGGTGTTATAGAATTGTACTCTGGAGAGCTTTTAAAGGTAAAAAAAATAAACGGCATGATGGGATGTGCAGTACCAAATATGTAAAGCACTTTTTTGTTAATGTATGATTTGCTGCATATAAGGAATAAAACAAAAATCCTCTGTCGTACCATATTGAAGTATCATTATTTTTGCATCGTGTTGAATCGCATCGTATCGCACCAAATCACATAATGTTGAATCAAATCGTATCTAACTGTATCGCAACAGGGGTGAATCGTATCGCATCGCCTGGTGTTTCAAATGTATCGTTAATGTATCGTATCGTGGCAACGTATCGAGATGCGCATCGCATCGGCCTCAGTGATGGAGATGCACATCCCTAATATGTACTCTTTAAAGTCACACTAAAATAACACATTATGAAACTGTCACAGCTAGAGGGTGAAGCCACAAGCAGGCGTATAACAGGAGCGTACCGCTTGCACTTGTTTCCTGTTCCTTCGCTTCACAATGTATACAATCAGAAAAAACATCAACATCTGATACAAGCAGGCGTTTGGTTTTGGTTTGACAGCAAAACAGCAAGGGATATTTAAATGAGTCTTTAACAAGTCCCAATTCTGTTTCACTTTTATTTGTAGAAATAAGAAATGGTAATTGTTAATGTCTGTTTGATGTGTTATTGAAAACCATTAATGTATTATTGGGAAAACCATTGCCAATATACAATAGTGGAAAACATGGAAGATGTATGTCTTTGAAATGAATTGTGATGCATTGGTACCAACCATTTTCACTTTAACACTGTAGAATACATATTAGAAATTGTTCAGAATAAAACTATTTTGAACAAATACATATTTTGTATCATTTGTCTTTTTTTTCTTCTAATTGCACCACATACTAAAAACTCCATAAAAGATCTAAGTTTTGATTGATAGAATGACATTTATGCATATTAGAAAAAAAAACGTGTAGGGGAGAGAGGGGTAAGTTGAGCCAGTGGGTAAATTGAACCACCCCCTGTAACCAGGCAACGCCTTATAGTTGTAATCAAGTGACCAGAAATTATGCAAGCTCCACCCATTTCTCCTTGCCTGTGAAAGAGAGATCCTCATTGTGTTCTAGTAAGTAAACATTTTTAGAAAAAAACGTTTTTTGCTTGTCAAAGTAAATGTTCTAGATGTTAGCTATATTGGCTGGCATGTAAAAAAAAAAGTATCCAGGTTTAAACACTTATATTGTATATGTTGATGTGTTGGCAGCGTATTAAACCATGTGAATCATTAAGCTAAAGATGACTCTGAATTGTAATGCTAGGCTATTTTTTCTAAAATGGTGGCTGTGGGGTAAAGTGAACCATGGGCCTTGGGGTAAGTTGAGCCACTTTTTCAATGGAGAAATGAATGAAAGTAGGCCAAGTTGATGATAAGAGCTCATTGTTGGCTACATTTAAAGTTGAATTTACCCTGTGTTTGATTGGTAAGATGTATGAAATTGTATCACCATTTTTTAACATGTTAAAAAAAAATCAATCAATTCAATAGAAATTTATATAAAAAATATTTGAAAAACTAAGCTTGTATTTGGTTTGTTATTTATTGTTTATAGTTACCTTTA